ACGCCCCTGCTCCTACTTATTTTGGTTACATTGACACAAAGAAACAACACCCTTAGGAACAAGGTTTATCATTTAATCTACTAGGGGTAAAATGCTTTTCTAGTCTCAGAAAAGAAATTGCAATGCCTTTAGTCCCTCATAAACTTTTAGAAAAGAAAATGCCATTAAGAGCCAATTGAGGACTAAAATTGTTGACTTTGCATAGTTGAAGGAGCGAAGAACTACAGACATTTGCTTAAAAACAAAGAACTTTTGTTCTTTTTGCTTAAAAGGGCCAACCGGTAGAGTTTTATGTTCTTCTTAACTTCAAACACTTTAGAGCTAAAAATCATTAGTAAGGGCCTAGGGAGGTGGGTGTTTAATACTGCTTTTCACTTTTCTACAATACTACGTATTTTACTTGACTATTTTACCAAATACTCAAGCTTCTGCTCTTTATTTTCAAATACCACTAGCTATTAAAATTAAGCAGTTTCTTTATAATTTCTTAAATAAATCACCTTTCACAAACACAAGCAAACGCACAGTAACTAAAATAGCAATTGCACATCTAAATATACATGTGTGTCTGAGTGCTTGTTGGATAGTTGATTTGTGGGCATGGAAAACATGTCCTAGTTGTATGAATATACATATATACACACACGTATACATATATATGCAAGAAACGTATATGTACCTGGTGAAGTGTATCCTTGTGATTTCCTTGATAATTGCAAGTTTCATTGACAAGATAGCTTACAGATTCTCCTTCCTATAATTCAATGTTTGATGTAAGAAGATTAAAGGGGAGACATCTAGGATTTCTGGTTCATGGATGCATAAAAGCAATGAGAAATTTACAATTAGAAACATATCTGTAATGATTTACAAATATCTGTTCCTTCCCCAGGTGCAGATTGCATGCAAAAACATAAACTATTCATTTGCAATTCAAGGAAAAGAAAAATTTATTGCTTTACTGGCTAAGTTAGAAAATAAATGAAGTACAAATTTCATTCCACCAACAAAATGCACTTCCCGCTCATTCCATTAAAGCAAGGGTGGACCATTAAGAGTTTACACACACAGTCTTGCCCTATATTTCTATAACAGGCTAAATTAATCCCACAATAACAATAATTAACATATCTAAACACCTACTCCTAACCAACTACAGGGCAGAAGAATAAAGGGGGACACTGGAACAGAGAAAGGCAAATCCCATGCTTCAACGTATAATTTTAGAATAATGACAAAAGTGATGAAACCCCTTTTTATTAGTAGAGAGAAACATTTTAATATTTACTCAGTCCTAAAACCAAATACCTTATGATAAAGCAACACCCAGCTGTTTTTTGCAGTCCAGATTCCTAAGTTACTCGTCTAGTCGATGAAGGCTCTCTCAAGTCTTTAACAAAAAGTAGTAAAACATTTTTGTGATACTATTGTCTAACTCTCTGGGACAAAACTCAATTTGTGTAGTTGTTTGTAGAAATAATGATGATTATGTGACTATATATTGGCCATGGTTTTTATCCTGATGATTTTTTATTGGCCATGAGTGTGTTCAATATTACATTATAGTGACTGGGACATTATACTCATAGCAACTTGAGTGACATTTTTGTCATGTTTTATATTGGTAATATTTCAGGAAAAACCCATTTTTTTACTGTAAAAACCTACATGATTTCCCACTCATATTAAGCATGCGCATGATGTTCCATAAGGTACATTTGTTGTTTCCAAAACAAATATTTAAACATTTGATTTACATCATTTCTACATTTCCCTCTTAATTCCAACTAATTACAAAAAGTGGCCTTCAAGTGCTAGAGACATAAGCAACCAAGCACGGGTAAATCAAGAACTCCTACAAGATGTGCTTCCAATTATACTAGAACAACTATAAGCATCTCCTTTAGGCCTCTGTGTTATTTTTATTTTATGTTGAACTATGTGAAATGTGACATCTTCAAGTTATATTCGAATAATCTCAAGATTCTAGGGCAACGGCTTTTGGCTTGACTTAATAGTAATCCTAAATGCGTCTATATTTTTCCAGACCTTCAGGCCATGCGACAATGTGCATGTTTAGCTGGATTCTGGACGCTATTAACTAGGATCAAGCAGTGTTGTCAATCCCGGATAACTGAGCAGAGCGGCCTACCCTGAAAATGCTGTAGCAGTATAGCGTATAGCGGGATGACCGCTGTTTGGATAACTTTTATACACATTAATAGACTATATTTATACATATAATTACACACAGTACACATATCAAATGCATAAAATGGCAAATACTACTCAAAATCTCAAACTTCATGACATTCATAATAGAATCTTTCTAAATATGCCATTTGTAATCATGTTAAAGGTTATCCCACGTGGGCTTTAACAAGGCAATAAGCTCCATACTAAACAAACTTAGGGAGTGTTTGCAACTGCTTCTGCTTAAAAAAAACACTTTTGAAGTGATTTGGAAAAAGGGATTAGTAGTAAAAGTTGATAGTGTTTGACAAAAAAGTGATTTTGAAAAGTAAAAGTTGGTAGCGTTTGGTAAAATAAGTGCTTTTTGTGTAATAGAAAAGGGAAAAGCACTTTTCACATGAAAACCGAGAAAAGTAAAAATTGGTAGTGTTTGGTAAATAAGTGCTTTTTTAAGCCAAAAACCGAGAAGTGCTTTTTTTAAGCAGTTGCAAACCAACCTTTAGAGACTGGTGGTAGATGACTAAGTTGTCGTCACAGATTTTATGGTTTGATGTGTAGTTTTTTAGCCACAATGCTGGTCATCTAAGAAGTAGAATAGAGATGACTAAAAACGATGTTTTACAATGCTGGGATGGACTTTACGTACTTGGAAGGGTTTGGGTTTTAGTGGGGTTACTTTTTATTCTGAAAAAAAACCTACTTTACACCTTTAAAATTTTCAAAACCAAAATTTTCTCAAAATTCTTTAACTCTTGCTCAGACAACTCAACAAACTCAATAGCGCCTCTACAGCGCCCGCTACTACCACTGTAGCACCCCAATAGCAGCCTCTATGTCCACTACAGTGGCTGTAGTAGCGCCCGAGTGACGTTCAGCTCCGCTACACCGCACAGGACACTAGTGCACAGTGAATCAGCAGAAGTGGAACCACAATACACTTTCAAACCAAAAGAGAATATGAAAGCAAAAAGAAGTATTTTGATTTCAACGTTATAGCAAATGAACAAAAACTCAATTGTCGAGCATCATAATGTAATGTAGCAAGCTGGTCTGAATTGCAACAGAATACGGTAATTTTGACATGGATGAGCACTGAACCTTTGGTTGGTATTGAACTGCATTGTCTTCCACATGCACCTGCACAGGCAGGTCTAATGGTGGAGCAGACTCATGCACTGGAGCCTGAAAGGCTCCATAGCTCATGGCAGCTGCCTGAAGTCCAACTGGGGCAGCAACAAAATATTGTGAAGCCATAATCTTGTTCAGCTTTGATCGCAACCCAGCATCTATTGAAAAAATGGAAATATAGAAAAAGCAGGTAAGTGATAAACATATACCTAAAATTTGAATTAGAAAAGTACAGATCCACTATTAGAAGAAAAACATGTATAGCGCACCACATTGATACAAACATCTCAAAGGCATGGTCAAAAGACCAGTAATGGTATATTGGTGTATATGAGAAACACAAATAATATAATAGCATAACATATTTCTAAATTAATCCAACATTCTACATGTCAGAAAAAAAAACAAATTGTACTCACATGTAGCGTTCAGGTCGGGCCCTATTGGCTGTGTGGAGTTCTCGATCCAGAGTTTGGCGTGCTCAGTACATCTCTGAAGGGCATTCTTGTGTGGCAAAGAGGAATTGGCAGGTCGGGAAATTAGCAGCCCACTGAGCATCGAAATCAAATCCAGGTCCCCCTCACCGAGCAGATCAGTGGAATCATCGTCTATCATGTAATCATAGGACAGGCAACTGCCTCTCTCGTGTTCCCTGGAAAGCATCTCTGTGAAGTGGTTCTGCAGGGTCTTCACGTCGAACATGCTGCCAAAGTACATAAGATTCAGCAGATCCTCAACCACTACCAACCTATCGCTTTCTCCCTTATTCTCCTCATCTTTTTTGGGCTCTTCCTGAGATTCCTTGTTCGTTGTGGGAGCTACGGAGGCCTGAGGTGCGTGGCCTTGAAGGTTTCGAACGGCGAGGGTGATTTCCTCTTCCACTGCGGCTGAGAGAGGACGACGCAGCTTCTCGAGCTCTTCAATTCCAGCAACGATCGCCGGCTTGGTGCGGAGGGTTTCTTCCTGCTCCTTGTTTAGGGTTTTGCCAGTTGAGAGAGACCCCTCCATTTGAGAAATGCGGTTCAGCTTCTTCTTAAGTGCACGGATGCGCTTTGTGATTGTGCTGAGGACTGGTCCGTCGCTTACGTCGGAGACTTCGGTGGACGCCATGGATAACGGTGAGACAGGGGTTTTTGGAGTGGTGATGGGGGTTTAGAGGATCCTTACAATAGACTAGACTCGGAAGGTTTAATCTTCATGCTATTTTGATAAAAACAAACATGGGGAGTAATATATAGGAAAAATTGATAGTAATAATCCCAACTATTGGCGGTCCTCTCATAATAATCCCAACTATTGATTATTACAGAATAATCCCAACTTTAGAGACCTTCCGCCAATAATGGTCCCTATGAATAAATTCTTGTAGTTTCTAAAATGGATGAGATGAGATATAACAAGTAATCCCTATAAATAATCTCAACTTTTAATTTTTACGCTTAATTTCTATTTAAAATTCACTTTTTATAGAGGTAATATATGGTCATGGACCATTATTGGCGGATAGTTTATATAGTTGGGATTATACAAAAATAATCAATAGTTGGGATTATTTTCAGCGGATCGGCAATAGTTGGGATTATTATTTTCAATTTTTCCTAATATATATATAACACCATCTTATACTTCTCCTCCCGCTAAGATTTTCAGAAAATCCCACTAAGATTGTCCCATACTATATTTGGTGAAGATTGTGTGGCTCTAAATCATTCTAACTTTATTCTTACTTTATCAATCTAATATCAACCACACAAACATAATTTTCTTAATAATCGTACCACTTTCTCCCGTCCCAATCTTAGTGGGACGGAGGTAGTAAGTGCTAATCATCAAAATATTTTATTGCTGGGACGATCACCCATGAAAGAGCAATCCTTATCAAAGACAATCATATAGATCCTTCTAATGACATAATATCTAGCAGAATTGACAATCATTATCAAAGATCCAAAATTAAAAACCTCAACAAAAAACGAAACACCGTGAACAAACATGACACGAAAATAAGACCAACAAAAATAGAATAACTGACAAATACTCCAAACTTCTTGAACTTTCATCTTCCAAACCCCGACATCTCGATCAGTCCAAGGCGGTTTAGGCGGGAGACGTACCGCCGCTCTGTATTCTTCCTTGCTCATCCCTTCATCGCACCCTGTCTGTTCATTGCCTGTGCCGAGGGCCGAAACCATACACTGAAGCATTGATTGGACTGAAGCTGGATTTCCCAATCCTCTGCAATTCCACGCAAAAATACTCATGGTCGCCTATTCCTACTGCTAGGCCCGTCAATGGGTCGGGTCTAGACCCGGACCCCCGAACCCGGTTATTCTTAATGGGTATGGGTCTATGTTTTATTCCGTTTACCCAGACCCGAACCCGGACCCGTTAATAATTTTAATAAATGGGTCGGGTATGGTACATATGATTCCGACCCGTTAAGGACCCGGACCCGTTTATAATTTTTTTTATTAATATATATTTCAGATACTAATATAGTAATACATCCCTAAAACTAGTATCCCATTAATACACATTAAAACAAACTGGGATATTCTATTTTAGTTTTGTTTATTTCACTATCAAAGACATTCAATACGTTTGGATGAAAGTACTGGTTTCTTACGTGAACATCAATTTTTTTTTTAAAAAAATAAAGATGTGTTTTACTTATTACTCCGTATTAAGGATGATTGAGATCTAGATGTAGCTAGTTTGTGAAATTGCATTACATTCATGATTCATATACACGTTCTCTTTTATATTTGGTGGGTCTAATCTTCCAAAAAAAAATGGTGGGTCTACCCGACCCAGACCCGAGACCCGTTGGGTCCGGGTCCGGGTCCAAAATTGCAGACCCGACGGGTAAACGGGTCCGGGTCCGGGTCCCTTATTTACTTAGCGGGTCCGGGTCTGGAACACTACATTCCGGCCCGGACCCGACCCATTGACAGGCCTACTACTGCCAGCAATCTCAAGCAGCTAAACCCTTGTTCAAATCAACCCGACGACTCAATACAGCCGACGAAGCTCCCACAGTCCTGAGACCTGACCGAAAAAAGCCAATCCAAAGAAACGAAAGCTCGGTGCTAAACTCTAACGTTTAACACCAGAAAAACACCCCTAGGAAAACCGTAGGCAGTGGCAAGTGGAACGTCTTCTCCTTTGGTTAGAGAAAATTGTTTCTTATTTCTTTTTTCTTAAGTTAGAGATAACATTAAAATGTGACGAGGGTTTAAACTTTAAAGCTAGGTGATTATAGTCTTGTCTAGTCTAGAAGCAGAAGTAAGTACTTTTTTTTTTGAAAATCCGATAACTTCATTAACTCATATCATGTCTCAAGACATCGGTAATACAATCAGGTGGATTATCAATCCAAATACATATAGACCCAGAACAGGCTTCCCTTGCAAGTATATAGGCAGCCTGATTCGTTGAACGGTACACATACTAGACATTTATATTAGCAAACCCAGCATGTATCTAATATTTCTAAAAATAATAGGGAAAGTTCCCGAAATGGGGCTGAAAAAGTTTGAAAATTCCAAAATAGGACTGTCATGTTTTTATTCCCAAAATAGGACTAATTACTGTCAAAGTTGGAAAATACTGCCATGTTTGAAGTCTAGTACTTTCGAAACATGACAGTAATTAGTCCTATTTCGGGAATAAAAACATGGAAGTTCTATTTTGGAATTTCCAAACTTTTTTAGTCCCATTTTGGGTAATATCTCAAAATAATACTATGTATCATTATGAGAATATTACCCGATATAGGACTAAAAATGTTTGGAAATTCCAAAATAGGACTGTCATATTTTTATTCCCAAAATAGGACTAATTACTGTCATGTTTTGGCAGTACCAGACTTCAAACATGGCAGTATTTTCCAAACTTGGCAGTAATTACTCCTATTTTGGGAATAAAAAACATGTCAGTCCTATTTTGGAATTTTCAAACTGTTTTGGTCCTATTTCGGGAACTTTCCCTTATCATTACAATGAATACCATCCCCTTTGTGAAGCCCCTGCACAATATGTTGAGCGTCTGATTCCACGATGATCCTTTGCCATCCCCACTTCATGGCCTAGCGGACCGCTTCCTCTATTGCCAGTGCCTCTATCGTCCCGGGTGAGAAACGTCCCCATCTTCTCACGTTATTACCACCTAGAAAATGTCGATGGCTATCCCGAGCAACCAACCCCAATCCTCTCGTATCTTCCGCGGTTGGTATAGAAGCATCAACATTTGTTTTCACAGAGCTCACGTCCAGAGCCTGCTATTTTCCTCTCTGCCCCGTCCTTGTCCTTTCCTGTAGCTTGGACTGCTGCGCCTCCTGCCAACCCTCTAGCATAGCATCGCCGCAAGCAATAACTCCCTTCCAATTTGGATTTAATTTCTTCCAAACCTTCTCATTCCGAGCTCGGCCTTCGAGCCGTTTTCCGCCACTTTACTCGTCCACTTGCTGAAACTAGCGGCTGCGAGGTGTAGGAATTTTAGACCTGTGCTACACCACACAGCTTTAGCCAAGGTGCATTCCCGAAGAATATGAAATGAACTCTCTTCCTCATGACCGCATATAGCACATCGTGGCCACACCGGCACCCTCCGTTGTACTAAGCTCTGCTTGCACGGTAAACAATCAATACAAGCTTACCAAAAGAAGACTTTCACTTTCGGTGGCAGCTCTAAATTCCACATTTTTCCCACCCCATCTCCGATAGTACGCTGCGTTTGAGCCTCTTCTAACAACTATGGACTGAATATATATCTTATTACCTTTTGATTTGTCGGCCCAGTTCAGTTCATCATTATCCTGTCCTTGTCGCGGCGGTATACTTGCAATAAGATGCCTATCATCTTTTTGAAATAAATCCTCCACTAGATCAACATCCCAGCCGGAACAATCGTTAAGCATGAGTGAGCTAACATTTATATTTTCCGGAGCAGCCACCACATTCCCAACCGACCGACAACCATAGAATCATGGAGCCAATTGTCTTTCCACACCCTTGCCAAAGCTCCTTTGCCTATTCGAAAGCAACCCCCCCCCCCCCCACGGACCGCCGTTATCACAGCCATAATACTCCGCCATATAAGAGACGAATTATTTCCAAACTTTGCCTCCTAGATATTTCCATAGGAGAAATATTTTGCCTTTAATACATTAGCCAACAAAGTATTCAGGTGCTTCAAAAGTCTCCAAACCTGCTTACCCCAACATAGCTATGTTGAAATCCCGAAGTTTCTCGAAGCACATGCCTCCCTGAGCTTTTGGGATACACAGATCATCCCAAGCTTTCCACCTGATACCTTTGCCTTTGAACGCATGTCCTCTCCACCAAAATGCATTCATAATTCTTTCTATATCATTACATAAATTCGCCGGCAATAAAAAACATTCATGGCATACTGGGGCATAGCCTGAACAACAGTTTTGAGTAAAACTTCCCTACCAGCTTTAGAAAGAAATTTACTATTCTAGCTCTGGATTTGCTGAACAACCTTTTCTTTTATATAGCCAAAAATTTCTTTTTTATTTCTTCCAACCATCGAAGAGAGCCCCAGATATTTATCCCCCCTGATCCTCCTGGGCCCCAAAAATACTAGTCAAATAATCTTTGTCATCCGAGGCCACAATAGCGCTAAAACGCACACTAGATTTTTCAAAATTTATTAGCTGACCCAAGACTGAAGCATATTGTGCTAGGATCTCCTTAATAATGAAACAGTCTCTCTCATTCGCCCTGTCATCAGCAAATAAAAGATGAGACACCAATGGTGCCCCATGAGCCACCCGGATTCTTGCAATAACCCTTCCTGCTCTTTAGCCCTTAGAAGAGCACTTATTCCTTCTGCCACCACAATGAAAAGATAAGGTGACAGCGGGTCCCCCATGCCTTAACCCTCGGGTCGGAATAATCGGCCCAAAGAGTTCGTCATTAACCTGAACATGGTATTGGACCATCTCCACGCATTGCATAATCAGATTCATCCACCGGGTACTGAATCCGAAAGACTCCATAATGTGTCTAAAAAACTCCACTCCACTCTGTCATATGCTTTGCTCATGTCTAATTTAAGCGCCACATAACCTTCCCTGCCCTGAGTCCTCCGCTTAAAAAAATGTTGAATTTCAGAAGCAGCAATAATATTAACAATTATTGACCTGCCAGGAATGAACGCACTTTGATTTTCAGAAATAATTCCGTCCAGCAATCCATTTAACCGATTGGCTAAAGCCTTCGCAAAGATTTTATATGCAACATTGCATAAAACAATCGGTCTCCAATCCCCCATAGCTACATGATTCTCCTTCTTCGATATTAGTACTATAATAGTCTCATTATAATTCTCAGGCACACTGATTGCATTGATTTTTGAGTGTTTATATTTTTACTTTTAATTATTTTTTACGGTGTGTTGTTGTGGTAATTGCACATTTACGGTGAAATCATTTTATTTTTCTAGTTTGTTGTAATTTAGTCAATTTAGAATCATCCTGAGCAAGAATCAATCAAGAATCAACAAAGGATAATGGAAGGGATCTTACAAGATCAAAGAAAAGTGCAGGGGAAACAAGAAATCATGCAAAAAAATGTGATTTGGTGTCATACCCGGTCGGGTATTATCAATACCCAGTCGGGTATGACTTGACTCAGAGATTTACAAGATCAAATAAAGCAACAGAACGTGAGAAAATCAGATTTGGTCATATACCCAATCGGGTATATTGACATACCTGGTTGGGTATGACTACATTTCAGCACTTTCGTAGCTACTGCCAAGGATACCCGGTCGGGTATCCTCTATACTCGGTTGGGTATTCGACCAAACCTTACCAAAACACCTATAAATACACCTCATTTCCTTCCCATTTTGGCATCCCTTCTTCCATATACTTAAGCTCAACTTGGAATAATATCTTCTTTATATTTTTCTAGCATGTTTAGTCTCTAAATGAGGAGCTAAACTTCCATTTCTTGATTTTTCCTCTTGTGGTGAATAAATTTTCAAAATAACTAGTAATCAAATTGCTCAATTCCCCTTGGTCTGTCACCCAATTACCCTTATCCGAGTAGAATCCCTTCATTAAATTTTTTCTCCGTCTTTGTTTAACTGAGTTATGGAAATACCTGGTATTAACATCTCCCTGTTGCAACCAGAACTCCTTCGCCCTTTGTTTATGGAACAGGTTCTATTTTTCCAGCAGGTCTAGATAACAAACCTTTGCAAACTCGGCCCTTGCAAACTCGGCCAGTCCTGCGGCATCCGTTCTATCTCGGCTTCGCGCCATCCGTCTCTTACATCCCTCGATACATCGCTGGAATCCTCTACGAAGATGATTACCCCACTTTCCAAGCTCCATGCAGCAAAATTGTAATCGCTCCAGAAGTACCTGATTCTCACACAAACTCCAAGCACGTTCAACAACATTCCGACAATCCTTCTCCTTTAACCAATGATTTTTAAACTTGAATTTGGTCTTCTTATGGGTTTTCTCTTTCTGACAAAATTTTAGATAAATAGCCAGATGGTTACTATTTCTACCCGTGATGGAAGTAGCACATGCATCACCAAAGATATTTAACCAACCTTCATTAACGGGTATTCGATAAAGCTTTTCCTCCACCCAATGTTTCGTGCCACGGTCTCTTTCCCATGTGAATTGATATCCATCAAAGGGAAAATTCACTAATCTGCTCCCCCAAACTGCATTTCGAAATCCCGATATCATCCATGGGGGTTGCGGGCATCGTCCTCTTTTCTCATAGGCATGCAAAATGTCATTAAAATCTCCAAGCACCACCCATGGTGTGCTGTTAGCCGTGTCCAGTTGCTATAGTAGCGACCAAGATTCTCTCCTTCGTTGTCGTTCTGGGCAGCCATAGAATCATGTTAACCTCCAAGGTAACGGTTGAGCTTCCATAGAAATAATAGCATCAATAAAATTCTGAGAGAAGCCCTGAATATTTACATTCATGTCGTTCTTCCACAATAAGGCTAGGCTGCCACTTTGGCCATCACAATTAACACATAAAAACTACTCAAAACCCAGTTGCTTGCTGACATGGGTAATATGTTCATGGCCGCATAGGGTTTCCATCAAGAAGATGATTGACGGGTGATGCGTGGAAGTAATATCTTGTAGTACCTGGACGGTGGCAAGGTTTCCAGACCCTCTATAATTCCAACTAACACCCCCCATTTTGAATAAAAGAAACAAACCTCTCAACCAGGTATAAACCGGCGAGGACCAAAATACTTCCCCACAAATGAGGAAATGCTGAATGCCGCACTTTCAATTTGCGCACCTTCCTTATGATTATTTTTCCGGCTTTTTATAGACTTCGTATATCGCAATAACATGACAATACTTTTGATTCTTGTGCAAATCCAAATACTGCTATAGTGCTATCCGACGAGCAATCTAACTAGTCAAGATTCAAGTAGCCCCATACGGGTACCGCCGCCATCAGCACACGTTTTTTCTCTAGGGCCCGTTCGATATTGTTGTTAGTTTTATGTTTTGTGTTATTAGAGACCCTAAGATGAACGATTGGAGATCTCTGAGTCTAATTTTATTTGTTTTACTAGTAATAATAACGGAGTAATCTTTAATTGTTGAATTAGCAGAGACAAACTTTTTTTTTGAAAGGAAAAACGACAAATTATAATAATTTTATCTATGGTTTATAACTACAATCGGCCAATAACTCAAACTTCAACTAGACTCTAAAAAACCTACAATTAGATTTTAAGACGAGTACTTTCAAAGAAGCAACCCGAATCGCTGACTACCAAATGAGGAATATGGAGTTCTTCCTGACTCTTAGGTCATAGTATTCTTTACCACATCAATGAACTTGAAATAGTAATAAAGTTCTCTAAGTCCCTAATAAGACATAAAGCAAAACATTTCACTAAACATATAGGAGCTTCAAGGCAAATAATCGCCATAAGCACCTCAGAAAAACCATTCACACAAATAAACCAAAAACAAAGTAAAAAGTACAAAGAAACATAAATAAAGTTGAAAAGAAACATAGAGCAATAAATCATGTGCGGCCACAACAAAATTGAAGCGATGTCTTCTAAACCCTAATCACACGATCCCTCCACGGCGGTGATTGATGTGGGGGCGGATTGACAATACTTCACCTTGTTCCTCGCTCAAAAATATACCGCCAAACACCAATCGCCATATCATCACACGGTAGCTTTTCTTCTGAATCTCCGTTCCTGTCGATAGGTCACCAATCGATGCCCTCATTAAAGGAATCTTAAATCGATTAAATTATTCTCATGAAATTGAGACGAAATCTAACGATTCACTCAAATCAACGCAATCGTACGCTTGAAGAAAAACGACGAAAACAAAAAACTTTACATGAGAGGGAAATGGCCGTTGTTTGTGTAGTAGTGTAGCAGAAACAGACTTTCGGTCAATGATAACTTCTCCATCTCCTTCAAAAAATCTTAATTAGTATTGTCTATATATAGTACGTATTTGTTACGAAATGGAAGAAAAATTAGGTGAGATAGTATATTATGAACACTTATTGATTAAGATGTTCTTAGATGTGTGTTTATAGGAAAAGATATAATCTCCTGTAAATTAGTAGCTAATTGTAAATCACACAATTGTCATCCTAAAATCACAATTTATTATTTCTAATTTATTTTGGTAGCGAATATAATGTCTCACTGATTTGAATAAGCTAGGAAAAATCTAGGGAGAAACAAAAAATCTATTTTTCTCACTATATTAATCGTATTGATAAAAAAACTGAATAGTTGGAAGCACAAATGCCTTTCCCAAGCTGGAAAATTAATTTTGATTAAACATGTTCTTACCACCATTCCTTTGTTTTCCATGGCCTCCTCCAAAGTACCTAAAGGTATCCTTACGGCCGTTGAGCAACATTGCAATTAATTTCTTTGGAGCAAGGACATAAAATCCGCGAAGCACTTTAGTTGGAGGTCATGAAAATATTGTTCTTTCCCTTTTAATGAGAACGGGCTTGATGTTCTCAGGTTACAAGATATCTAACAGTGTTTTTACCTCAAATTGTGGTGGAAAAAAGACCAAGACCAAAGCATATGGGCTGCAATATTTAATTCTTTTCGTTCTCCTTCCAGCTCTGTTTTATGGAAACCTATGTACTCTGTAAAGGACATTTATGATGCGAACACTAATGTTATTGTTCATAATGGCAGTAGCCAGTAGGTCATTTTGGGACTCAAATTGGAGTCCCTTTGGACCACTGCAAAACATCGACCCTAACATCACCATTAAGGAGGCCTATACCGACATCAACCGATATGTTGCGGTGCTCCCCTATGATATAAGACTGTCCCTTACCACCCCCCCCCCCCCCCCATTTTTGACATCGAGAAGGACACTGTCTTATGGGAAAAAATTCTAATGGGATTCCCACGTTCGGTAGTGCCTATGATGAGATTAGGAAAAAAAATTGCAAAGATAATAATTTAAATGCCATATGGAAAAAGCCAATCGCCAAAAAGGTTTCCTTTTTCCATTGGCGCATTATGAATAATTTGGTGGTTAACGCCGTTTCTCTAACTAATATGGGTTTCAACGGTCCATTTAAATGCCCTCATTGCAACCACCAAGATTATTTGGATCATTACTTTCTTCGTTGTCCCTCACATGATGCCATTTGGAACCATTTTGATATTCCTAATCACTGGTTGGACGGAAATTTGAAGGACAACATTCTTAAATGGACCAAGCACAAAAACTTTCTTTGTTATTCAACTATCCTTTGGAACCTTTGGAAAATGAGAAACGCCGCCCTTTATGAGGATATTGCCCCTAATAACTCTGAGGCCATTTATAATATTTATCGAGACTTTAATGATTTTAAGGTCTCCATCAACGTGAAGAATCCCCTTAGGAATAAACCTTACACCATTAACTGGAAACCTCCACCGATTGACCACTATACCTTGAATGTCTCTCACACTTCTGTTGGTCACACTCAAAACTTTGGCTTCCTCATTCGTAATAACCATGGGAGATTGGTCACCCATCTTTTTCAAAGCCTCTTTAATACCTGAAAGCACAAAGCTTTCATTGAGGCCTTACATTTTTTTCTTAATTGTTGCAGGCATAACGGACATACCGTAACCATCATTGAGATCTCCAATCAGTTGGTCTTGTAGTCCATCCATCTAAACTGTGTACGTGCATCATTGGGAATCAATCTACTCTATCACTTGCATTAGGAAGATTTTACATCAAATCCTCTTACGTCAAATTCCAGAATCTGCTAGTATTGCGGCTAATGCTATTAGCCTTGGAGTTGCTGTCGAATCTTCCAGTTTTAAAAACATTCTTAAATTTGACGCCATTGCTTATCCCTATGTTGTGTAATCTTGCTTTGCTTTCAGTAGGTTTTGGCTCGATGTCCCCCTACCTTGTATCCTTATCTCTCCCCTAATAAATTGGTAAGGTGTTCCCCAGCCCTTACCCCATCATATGATGGTTTTCAGTGGGCTAAAAAAAACTAGAAGATGACTAATTCAATTATATTTTTAACACTCCCCTTGAATGGCCATCTTCTAGTTATTTATGAGTAATAATGGTCTCAGTATAATCCTTACTATGAAAACTCACAATGGGATAAGGAAAAAAGAGTACAACATTTAACCTCATATTATTATAATGTACTAGGTCGTTAAAAACCTTGTAAGGAAAACTCGTTGGGTTAAAAACCGAACGAAAGAAAAAAGACTGCAATGCATATAATATTACCCCACAATTTAACATATATCTCTGTTGGGGCATGGGTCCAAAACGGGCAGACCCAAATAATACCTCCAGCGGCCTAAACAGTACAATGGGCCCCTACATAAGTGTTCAAAACCCGGTCAAGCTCAGATGAGATGCCCGTCTCGCCCAACATGCCCCTAACGGGATGTCACGGACGAGGTGCCACACTTGGAACCTTCTCACTTGTATTATTCACGCAATTAGTTTGCCTTATCAAGGAATTGGCGAGAAACCAAAAAATTGTGGGAAGAGCATTTCACCATATAGGAGAGATTTTATTGTTGGGGGCAGGGGCGGATGCATAACTACACAATGGGGGGCTGATGCCCCCAATAAACTCCCAATAATCCCCTATATTATAGTAGAAAAATGTTTATTACATAGAATTGCCCCCAATAAAAAATGCAAATGAAGTAAAGGAAGAGTATTATTGAGTATTAACTACTCCATATTTGAGTAATTTGACTATTGAAGTATTGAGTTTTGATTATTGTATTATTAGTATGCCTTAAAGTGTTATGGTGTATTTGTGTTAAATTGTTAACATTTAAAATTTAAGAATTACGATTTAAGGATTACGAAAGTCATACTCTCTTCGTTCCGAAAACAAGTTCCCCGGGTTGACTTTCACACATTTTAAGGAAATAAAGTTACTAAGGGGTAAATTTTACTGTTTTGACACTGTTTCAACACTGTTTGGCACTGTTTTGCACTACTTTGATGTAGATAATTTGCCATATAAGGAAATGGGAAGTTTATTATAGGACATCCAAATAAGGAAAGTGATAACTTGTTTCCGGGACGGAGGTAGTATAAAATATGGAGTAATACATACATAGTATAATTTTTACATAGCTATCACTCTTGGAGAAGGTTTTAAGAAAGCCATATATATAAAATATACAGCCCGTTTGGTGAACCTATTTTTCGTCTTATCAGCCAACGTATTTACCAAACACGTACCTATTGATTTCGTGTGCTGAATGATGTAATAAGTAAGGTTGGACTTACTTTTCTGGCTAGATTGACTGAAGTTATTGTAGACGATCATTTTAGTTATTATTTATATAAATTTTTCGTCATTATTTTAATAAAATACTCTTATATTTTTTTTTTCATAAATTTGCATAATCGGCTAATCCAGCCACTTCAGCCAGACCTTCATAAATTTCAGCAGAATCAGCCGATTCAGTTAATTTAAGTGTTACCAAACGGGCTCATAATTTTTACATACCTACCACTCTAGGAGAAGGTTTAAGATATATAAAGACAAAAAAGTACATTAGTTATCAAAGAATTAATTACATTTTTTAGGTTTTTTATATATTGTAATATACTTTATTTAGTTATGAAATTTGGGTGTATTTTATTACAATTTTTACTATTCGGGTATATTTGGTTGTGTTTTTCATGCACGCTATTTTTGTTCAGCCCCCAATAGCTCTGTTTCCTGGATCCGCCACTGGTTGGGGGTCAGGCAATCAGGAAATGCCACATCACCCCCCCCCCCCCCTAGTACCTTGTCGTATAAATACTCACATTTATTTCAATGTAAATGGTTCGAAATATTGACCCCCGACACCATGTCTCCAGATATATGGCCTACATGGTAATGATGGGTTACAAAGATGTGATTAGATGTTGAGGATTCTTTGTAACCTTAGATGGGCCAGCCCGTGAATGGTATGATTCCTTGCCTGACGGAAGGATACCGAATTTACGGGAGTTAGCCTAAGCGTTCATCGCGCGATTTGCCAGTTCGAAGGATTCCAAGAAGAATTTCTCTCACCTTCCTGGGAGTCAAGCAGGGGCGCGAGGAGACCTTAATAACCACCTTCCTAGCCCATTGTAAGGATGGATCAGTAAAGGTTGACGGCCTACACGATAAGGGAGTGCCATCTTCACTAATGCCTTGAGTTCGGGTGAATTGCATTAAGAATTCGTACGACAACCTCCAACCTCGCATGAGGAGGCCCTACATCGGGCCGATCTGCAAGCAGAGGTGGAGGAAGCTGAAAAATGAAAAAGGGAAGAAGAGGATGTAAACCTCAAGTGAGTAATGGGAAAAAGAAGAACAACGAGAAAGAAGCCCATGATCCAGATAAGCGAAGTGGGTTCAAAAGCAAGAAGAAGAGCTGGAGCAAAGGTAAGTCAGGGGTACCTGATGGACCATTATTCAGTCAGTCGGAATTCTTCCCATTGACACATCCAGAGAGCACAACCCTGGATTACACCACCAAACAGGGCTTGGTATCGTTGCCAACACATATGACGTTATCACCGGCCATGCCACCCGAAGAAAGTATTGCAAATTGCACAAAAGCGACACTCATGAAACTGATGAGTGTTATATGTTAAAGAAGTGCTTGGAGAGGCTTATTCGAGCCGGACAACTCGATAAACTCGTAAAGAAGAGAGAGATCGGAGCCCAGTTCGAGGACCATGTCGAAAAGGAAAGAGTTCGGTCGGCAGAAACGTCCCCACGTCAATCAAATCTATGGTGGACCAATGCGAGGAGATACCGCCGGGGAGAGGAAGAAGTGGAGCCGCCAGTTGTTCATTGGTGAGATTAATCGTTTCTCGGCAGGCAAAAAACAAAAGCGGGAAACGATTGTCTTTACCAACGATGATCTACCTCATTGTCCTCCACCACACAAGGATGCCATAGTAGTAAAGATGGAAGTCATGGACACAATAGTTAATAGGGTGCTGGTAGATTATGACAGTTTGTTAGGTCCCATAGATTTTGATGTTTCAATGTAATAGTTTTGATGATGTCACCCCTTTTTATTAACCCTGTATTAGACTAGTTTACTAGTTTTGTTCTACTTTGTTTATTTGGAATGTGCTCCATATTTAGTGGCCTCTAATTATGGAAAATAAGATTGCAAAGTACCTCTAATTAGGAAAAAACTCCCCATTAATTATGTATGAGCTTCGGTCAGTGGCCAGGCCATGGAGAAAATGCTTTCTACTGCGCATACATTTATTTGACCCTCATATAAATCAATATTTTAACGTTTTTCACTCATGAATTTCTCGACTACAAATTGATTGAGTCGCCCAATCAGTTATAGATAGGCATGGAGTCGGGTCGGGCCTAGGCCCGATCGGGCCTTTTGTGGTTGGGGGAAGGCCCGGGACTGACCCGGGTTGCCACCGGGTCCGGGTCGGGCCTCAGGCCGGGCCTCGGGCTAAGTTGTAATTTTTTTTTCTTTCCTATCTACCCCTGCCCCCCCCCCCTCACCCCCCCCCCAAAACATCAAGCCCAACCCGGGGAAGCCCAAAAAAACTAAAAAAACTAAAAAAAAAAACGGTTTTGGTCCGAACCGGGCCCGGCCGGGTCTCCATTTATGCAGCCCGAGTCCACCCCCGGTTAAGCCATAAAACCGGGTCAAGGACCGGTTTGGGACCCGAAGCACCGGGCCGGTCCGGTCCCGCACAATAGCGGGCCGGGCCGGGTGGCCCGAACCGGGTCCATGCCTAGTTATAGAGGTTGATCATTGATAACGGTTTTCGCTATATCTTTTTCACATGTATTTTGAAGTCCCAAATAGCTGCTCGTCGAGATGTACGTTCACTACTTCACCATGTTGTCGGGTCATCCCAAGTCCTAACGTGCTCTAAATTACTTCGAAATTTAAAGCATGTCAGCAATGTCAATTAAAAGATAATTTTGATCATACACGGATATAAAAGACAATTTTCTCATTTAAAACTTGCTCAAGTTTCACTCCAAATGAAAATATAATACGAGTATTTTTTAGTTAAATTAAACAAAGAAAACGTTTAAATCAACCATTAACATTTACGACATGGGGGTATCTACGCCGAATTTGTAAACCAGCCATATCATACACGACTTCTTCAGTTTCACAACATGACAACAATGAAACTAAACTATTCCGTTTCTTTGATTTCTAATACAGAAGGCATATAACACTTCATCAACGACACAATACCCCCCCCCACCCACCCCCCCACCCCCCCCCCCCCACACACACACAGAGAAAAAGGAAAAAATGGTTCTATGCAGAAATCGTGAGTTAACATTTACTATCCATGATCAGCTTTTTTACCAATTGGGGCCACTACAAATTCCAACATTGCAATTCAACTTCCTTGACAAAAAACACTAATGTGGCAGACTCTATAGACTCTGTAACTACTATGAAAGAAAGAAAATCATGTGGACTTCCTTTTCTTTTGCAACCTCTGTCGTCTCATCCACTTCAAGTAAATTTGGTATGACAACCCTGAGAAGACCATAGCAACGCTTGACCATTGTTTGCTAGAGAGGGGATTCCCACTCAGCAATGAGGAAATGACTATGCTAACAAACTTGCGAGTCGTCGTTATGGTTGTGTTTGTTAGGGAACCGAACCGGCTAATGGTTAGGAAAATAAAGTTTTGTCCGACTGCACCACAAAGACAGTACATGAAAATGTCCCATGCCGCCTCTGGGTGCTGCCTGCAGAACTGAACCGCCTCATACCCGCTTGCGTTAGACCAACCGAACATGAATATCATGTTGTACATTGTGCCCCATAGATTCATCCCCAACATTATATCCCATGCACTCGTCTTGGGATATCTAAGGGAAAAAAGAAGGTTAATGAATCCATTACTAATTTCATCATATAAATATAGATTACCACGGCAGAATTGCTACAACATATTCCCTGTCTCCACAATAATAACTGTGGAGGATGATTGTTTTAGTTTCACGATGTACACATGTCACTTTTTCAAAAATTAAAGCATCAATTTGTTTTAAGGCTTTGTTTGGTAGCCATAATGAAATTACATTGCAGAATAGTAAGTCACTTTTAAGTTTACTTGGTTGAGATGGATGTTTCTAGACATTTTTGCTTTTAAAAAATTCAAAAGATATTTACTCGTTTAAGCAAAATAACTATGACCAAACAAGCACTATCACTATTAAACAGGTACTATAAGAGACTAGAAAGATACTATAAGAGACTAGAAAGTCCAGCAAAAAAAACAGGCACTATTACTCCCTACGCCCAAAACTATACATTGTTTTAATGCGTTGTTTTAACCTTCCATATTATCCTAAAATAACTGTATCTTGGGAGTTTAAGTACTCCGTTTTTGCTTTTCCCCCAACCAATTTCCCATATTTAATAGTCTACAATCATTAATAATTGCAATATGAGTATTGAAAAAATGACCATTTATTAAATGACTATGATAATTATGTTTCCTTAAGAGCATCTCCATTCATGATACTCAAGTTTACAGTTTTTTATGGCTTCTTATTGCCATGTCACTTCCACATAAGATTATCTCAAATAATCTCCAAACCCATCAATTTCTCCTCATCCATGATCTTAATTTAACAAGATTTTTTATGAGACATGCACTCAATTTCAAAATCTCTACAAAGCTAGTCATCACCTTAATTATGAGTATATGCCTAGAAAATGGAGAGAGGAATCTAAAAGTTGGAAATAATCTCAAAATAATCCAGCTTTAGAATTTGATATTAGATTATTTTATCAAATAATCTCATAAAATAATCTTAACTCTCATCCATGATCCCCAAAAAAATCCTCCACATCATCAAAATGATCCCAAAAATAATCTATGGATGGGGATGCCCTAAGACAAATGCGGGATACGTGGACACAAAAAAATGGATATGTTACAACACAATTATCAAGTATAAAAGACGGACATTAGGGACTATTTCCAGCGAAAAATAAAACGACCACAATGACAACCAGAAACTTTTCCGGTAAATTCGGAAAAGTAATTAAAAAGTAAATAAATATTACAGGAATTTTCAGGGCGACCAATTGTTGCAAAAATGTGTCAAATATCGAGGGATTACACTTATGAGTCACACCATGAAACTTTGGGAATGAGCGATTGAGCAAAGACTCCGAAGCACAGGAGAAGTGTGAACATTTCGAAGAATCAATTCGGTTTTATGCATGGTCACTCAACACTTCAGATCATTCACCTTTTATGCATTTGGTGTTCATTGACTTAAAAAACATATGATAGGGTTCTCCGAAAAGTCCTTTGGTGGACCTTAACTAGAAAAGACATCACGCAAGTACATCAGCATCATCATGGATATGTGTGAGACTTGTATTACAAGTGTCAGTACTAGTCTAGAGAGGATTGCAGAGTTCCCCATTACTACCACAGTACACCAAGGATCGCCTTGAATCCTTTCTTATTTGCTATTGTCATATATAAACTTACAAAGTCAATCCAAGAAGACATATTGTGGTGCATGATGTTTGGCGACACTTTTGTTTTGATTGATGTGACACAATCGGGTGTTAAATCAAAATTGGAGATATGGTGACAAACATTGGGGACCAAAAGTTAAATACTGAGTTGAAGCAAGATTGAATTTATGAAGCGCAAGTTTGCTGGACGTAGAAGTATTGGTAATAATGGAATTACTCTTGATGGCAAGGAGATACCGATATGTGATATATTCCATTACTTGGGCTCCATAATTCAAAAGTACGACGACTTAGATGGAGAGGTATCCTGTATAATCAACACATGGTGGATGAAATCGAAAAGTGTGTCAAAATTTCTATGTGACCGAGGTATACCGGCTAAACTGAATAGTAAATTTTATAGACAATAATTAGGTCTGCATTACTATATGACGATGAATGTTGGACAGTGAAACAGTGTCACATTCACAAGAGGAGTGTGGCAGAGATGCACATGTTGTGTTGAGGGGGTGGAAATACCAGAAAAGAGCGTTAAAGGAATGAGGTAATAAAATAAAGGTGGGAGTAACACCTATATAAGATAAGATGCAGAAGTCACGATTCCATCATTTGATCATGTGCGTAGGAGACTGAGTGATGCACCTATTAGAATGTTTTCTTTTGGACTGTTTTCAGTACCAGACCAGACTTGAACATTTATACAATACACAGAGACCAGACATTTACCAGATCAGACCACTTCACACCAGATCAGACTTAAACAGACCATATCAAATCAGACAAACCAGCAAATTTTAGTCCAACAGAAAACATCCTAAGACGAGTTGAGAGGCAGGGAGAAGAGATGGAAAGGAGAGGGAAAGGAAGACCCAATTAGACGTGGATTAGAGAAATCGTGAGCGATATGCTTCTTGTGTTGGATGAGAGTATGACTTCAAGAGAGAGCAAAGTGGAGGGCAAATATTCGTGTGGAATGTTGATCTCTTTTCTCTCTTTTTTCTTTTATCTTTTTAGCTTCTTTATCTTTCTTATGTTCTTTATCCATTTACGTGTGAACCCGTTTTATTTTATACTTCCTTCATTCTTTTTTTGTTGCAACATTCTCATTTTCACACTTACCAGCACAAAACTCTGACCACCATTATATTTAATTCCAGTAAAAAAAAATAAAAATCAAATTATGAAAATTTGTAATGAGGCGAATTCAACAATACTTAAAAAACAACTTTCATACATTAATAAATAAAATGTGGTCAAAGTAAAGTATGTGAGTAGTGTAAAGTTTTCTATGTTGCAACTAAAAAGAAACGGAGGATAGTACATTTTCTTTTTATCCTCTTTATCTTATCATTTTTATTTGTATCTTATCTTTATCTTTATCTTATCCTTTTTATCTTACCTTATCCGATATCATGTATTGATTCGTGTTTATATTTGGATGTTGTTGTGACATTTTATTAGCACGTTTCTCTTTTTCCCTTCTCCATCTCAATATATTAAACCAATTGTAGTAGTTTAGGTATAGTATTAACATCGTTTGTTAGGTTCTAGAAGATGCAACAAGTTTCTTCATCTGTTTCCTTAACGCACCACTTTCGTGAAACGTTGGAATTAAATGGATGGGCCAGCAAAGTGTTTGGATATTAAGGTGCACCAAGATTATGTTCAAAAGATATCTAACCTTACAGCAATGGAATCCTGAGTAGCATTGGTGAATCCATCAAATGCAAGATTCAAAAAACACAGTCCATATCCAAGTGGAGCGTTCGGATGAGCCAGTTTGCTTATGGTTTTTGAGCTAGTCTGAAATTGACGAAACATAATGATAAGCTTCAGAGTGGAAGACACTAGCATTTTGATTGACCCAAAGCTTTCTACATGAAGCATGGCAAAATAAGAAAAATGAGGTTTACTCTACACATTTGAGGTACACTTTTACCTTGGAAAGTGCAAAAGTTGATACTCCACCAGCAACAAGTAGTGTACATATATACTCAGGAAGTGTATACCGAATGCCATATACAAGTGTACCCATTAACATTACTGCAAAAAGTTGTAAAAACGATCCATCACCAAGAGATATATCTAGTTTCAGGCAATAAAACAGAAAACAAAATGAAGACAGACGCATTGCTATTTGTCATTCCAAAACACACTTTGTTAAATGCTACCCAAGTCAGTAAGCGCTGTTCACTTGATGCTGTTGCATATTAGGTTCCTTACATACACGCTCCATTTATATATTGAGCTTAGCTAATGGTTTCATGAAAAAACATAATTCAAGTAATGTTATTAACTCATACTCCCTCTGTCCCATTGGACATTGCCTACTTTTATTTAAGTGTGGAATAAGAAAAGTATAAACTGTGTGTTTGAGATTTGTGCAGAGGAGAGAGAAGTCAGGAGAATCACAAATTCATTACTTTAAAAGAAAAATGGCAAATATTTTAGGACAAACAAAGAAGGAAAGTTAGCAAAACCAATGAGATGGAGGGAGTAATTATTCTAAATTATAATGCAAACAATGCAACGTTAGAAGGGGAGCCTGGACACACATGTTACAATGTTACCATGTGAGACAATCTTGGGAGCAGCCTCTTGTCAAAATGACAAGGAAATGCTTGCTCGTTATACATTCTTGTGGTGAGACCTTCCCCGGACCCTCACCTTGCAGGGACGCCAATGTGCACCAAGCGCCCCCTTTTATGGATAATACAACATTAATTGAGCCCTTTATACTAATTTATGTTGAAGCCAATGTGTTTTTTGGCTATGATTTGGATTAGCAATTCTAACAATTTGTAACAACAAATCAAATCAAACTAACTTATCCACCTAGGTGGGGTCACCTAGTATTACTATACAAATGAAAAATTAAACAATGATAGGAAACATGTAATTACAAGCTGCATATTAATAAAAATAGTACAATAACACTTCCATGGTAAGAATAGCTCACCAGGAATCATTTTTGAAGATTTTGCTAAAACCTATAAATTTGAAAACATTGTTAGTGCATAGAAGTATCAAAGTGAAAAGAGAGCAATTAAGAAGAGCATTTAATATGTACTGCTCTTTCTAATCTCTTATGGTTTGTAATGCTATATGTACTATACAAGTAACAAGGAATATAATGGAGCAGCTATACAACTATATGAATTCTATCCCATCCTTCTTTTGCAACTTTTTTTTCATCTTAATGATCATTTTGATGTTAGCCGACCTCAAACTCTTCTGGGATTAAGGCTTGGGTGTTGTTGTTGTAATGATCATTTTAATAAACGTGACAAGATTGTGTTAATGTGGTGTGGAGCAAAGACGGCAGCGCGAGGCAAGTCCAGCTTGTGTTGATCTTCTCCATCATAAGGGTGTGGTGGTGACTGTTTTTCTGGAAAAAAGGCTGGATGTAAAAATCTTGAACTTTACAGGCAAACTTCCTGCTGCCATTTAAACCCAGAGTCCAGGCAGTGAGCCTCAATTTATTTTTGAGGTGTTCGATTTCCATGGCACTTTCTCCGATACCAAATATGGTACAGGAAAACATAATACCAAAAGAATGGAGAAAGAACACAAGAGTGTATATTTCTTACTCAAACCTGTCCATCAGAAGAATTACTAAGGGAGATTGATACACAGATACTTATTGTTACAATAAACCATTTAAACAGAAGAAAGTGAAAACATTGTGATTCGGAAAATACTGATAGAAAAGAACAACAATGGATAGGATAATTGAATTTCAATAATTATACAACAACAATTTCAATAATTTTAGTTTTACTTTAATTTAATGATAGTTTTAATTTTAAATGTTATGCTTTTCCGAGCACATATAATCAACTTTTCATGATATTGCTTATTTGAAAAAGAAATTATTTTATAATAGTACTTATTAAGCAGGTTAAGACTCAATAGGGTTGAAAAGTTCTTCGGCCACGAATGAGCTCAGAAAACAACCTCAAGTTCCTCTAGATAATAAGAGGACCAAAATACAACTATCTAGAGTCGGTTCAACTTGGTTACATGCTGACTACCTTATAGAAATGGAGGGAGTGGTAAGCATGATTTGTAACTTATCAAGCATATTACACATAGACATAATTCAGAAGCGAATTTGGGAGAAACTCTCTCAACAGCTCATTAAAAAGCTTCAAAACAAGCAAACACAAATGATAAATGTTGATCATGCCTGCGCAGGGTAGCTGATGTATTTTAGGGCCTCAATCCCCATTGCGGGACCAATAGTATTTGTAATGCCAGCACCCCAGTAGCTCCACCAAGGAGCTCCACTGCTACTTCCATTAGACCAAATCTGTATCACTGCATAAAATCAAACTGAACCCAATTAAGAATTCGATAAAGAAGTGCTAGAAGACAGATGACAACGTCAGTACATTACAAGAGGCTTACTCAAAAAGGACCATATCAAGCAAATCACATTTTGCGCCAGGTTTAAGAAAGCCAAATGTTCAAACCTCTTTTTGTCCGGACCAAAATGTTTCGTTGATCTATAAATCCAAAAAGAGAAGTTAGCTGCTCATACTACGAGGGAAGATGCTGGATTTAATATTTAGATCAACACATAAATATTAAGTCAGATTTTCACCGAGAAAAATAATTAGTTGAGTCGAAAATATAAGCCAGGAAAAGTTCACGGCGTAGTTTATACATCTGACAAACATTACCAGAAAATAAAACCACGATAAAAGCGTTTCTCAGCAATGGAAAACTTTAGAGATGTAGAATGGAAGAGCGCGAATAAATGTTAGATCATTTAAGAAGCTCAGCAAATGAAGAATCGAAGTAAAACAAAAAAGTGAAAAGATAATGTAATTACACAGTCTCTTGAAGAACGCCTTGATAGATATAGGCAGACCAAATACCGGCGACGCAGAAAGCTAGGACGAGAACGCGGCGGAGTCCGGAGCCGTGGCCCTCCATAATTATGTCACCGGATTAAATAACTTCCTCCCACCCAAGCTTGCCTGCTATTGCGCCGAAGTCCGATCGTCGGAGAGAAAGAAGCAATAGTTTGACGGAGTATCGAAGCCAACCGGATGGCTCTTCCGATTTCTCCTAAACTGACGACGATGCTGCGGTGAATCGATCAACGATATATGGAGAGACGTTGGGTCAGAGCCACGTCGGGGATCCACGTGGCGTGACTTGATTGGGCAAAATGAATTACAGGTGGCGTCTCATTGGCTGAGTAACACGGGATTCTCACTTTGTTACCCGTAGGGATGGATTCCGGTATTTCAATTCCTTTTTCATCCAAAATCAAATACCTCATCACCGGCGACACTTAAAACTCGTCCCATTCAAACATGTTGACATTTAAATCTTAATCATGTTAAATTTTAAACATGTTAACAGAATATATATTATCATAAAAAAAGTGCAACAAAAAATCTAAATCATTATCGTGGTTTGTGTTTGTAAGTTAAGTTTGGTAGGAATAATTTCTTACATTTTAGCTTTTATACTACTCCCTCCCTCTCAAAATAATTGGTCATATAAATTTTAAGTATTATATTAGTGTGTTATTTTAAAAATCATACTTTTATGAAAGATTTTCTTAATAAAGATATGCTCATATCAAACTTGACCACTATAGACCAAGAAAAGTCAATTTGACCAATCTTTTTGGGACGGAGTATTTAAAAAGTACTCCGTATCTAAAAAAATCTTAAGTGCGTGTTTGGCAGGAGTTGAACCACCCGCCGTAACCGTCACTTCAAATCTTGGGAATCACCAAGACATCTATCAAGGCAGGAGCGTCGGGACCACACGACTCGAGGTTACTTTCTATCTTCTATTTTCTTATGTCTCGCGCACGCTCGGAATATCAGAAGTGGGGGACTTGTGTTGGGGTAACTGGCCCGATACAGATTGGCTTGATACCCGCCAAGGCCCCAAGCCCGAGCGGCTCGACCCGGATGGCACGCGCCGCATGACACCACACCCTTGGATGATTCATATTGGCAACCATGGAACTCTTGGCCGGCGGGCTTGGTTTAGTTGGCATGAAAACAAGGATTTTGGCCGAAAGTGCAATTAATGCACCAAGATATGCAAGATTTTATGGTTGGGGATTAAACACTCAAGTTCCTCCACATCACTTCTACCACCTACCCCATGGTAGTATAAATAGTAGCATTTATTTCATTAGGGGTTGACAACTTGTATTCTCTAGTTATAGCATTTATCTCTACTTCTTATTCTAGTAGAAGCTCGATGCTTAGCTCACTAGGGAGTGTTGTAATCGTTTTAAGTACTTAATAGAACTTGGGTCCACTTACCTTTCCTATTCATTCTTGCTAGTACTTGTGCCTCAAAACAGTTAATTAATCCACCAAAAGACGCTCAACTCACCAAAACTCCTATGAAAGGCCCAGGGAAGGTGTTGGGACCTTGGACCTAGAGGATTAAACCTCAACACTGGTGTCGTATGTGGGAAACTGAACAAAAAATCTTCCGAACAAGCTCTCATGCTAAGTAGCACTTCACAACTCAAACGACTCCAAAACAGCAAAATGGTGAGATTCTCATCTGAACACACCAGGACCTATTCGAGGAGTTGCGCGATAGCAGGAGGTCGTGGACTATGAGCTCCGCGAAGCCGTGACCTTTGGCCTTAATATCACTTGTGGATCATTGGGCTTATTGCTATACTAAAAACAATCGCTGATAGTGTACCACACCCTCTCCCTTAATTTATAGAACAGGCAAAGCGTCATGGTCGATTGCACCGACAGACTGACAAATTGCTAGCGTTGCATACCTGTGACCCAACATCCACTATAAATACAAAGGTTCAGCCATGGAGAAGGGTGTCCGGTTGTAGTTTCAGTGTGCACATATTTATTTTTATAGTTGCTTTCAAGAAGCATTTGAAATATGTTTTATCTCCAATGGGTTTGGAAGTGAAATGAAAACTTTATAATGAAGTAAGAGGCATATAGCCCACAAGACTGGGTTAATTATAGATCTACCTAGATAGGTTTGAGTTGAGGTAGCACAAAGGTATTCTCAATTTAATTCATTCGAGAGAGATCGAGGTTTTTTAATTCCTCTTTGGTCAAGAGATTTTTCCTCATTAAATCTTCGTGCATCTACTTTTATTTTTACTAAGCGAAAAATGACAAAAATATCACATTACACAATTCACCTCACTCTTGTGTATTTCACCTGATTGATCAAGATAAAAAAGGGAAATAGTACATCGGGAGGAAATCTTGTATATCAAAAGAAAAGAAAAGGCATACAATATGTATGAAAATCAATAACAGTAGCCCATAAATAATCGTTATAGTAGTGTTCATAGTTTGAGCATTCAAGTCATATTCTCATAATATTCACACTTTCATTACTAGTTATTTACACGCATTTTCTATTATAACACACACACATACTTGAAGACAAATTTAACAATTTGTTATGTTTGCCAATGGTACTAGATAAATCTATGTGGCAGTGAAGATCCTTTAAGAAACGACTTAAACAGTATGAGAGCTTCCGATGGAGAAGTATTTGGTGCATAGTGGGATCCACCCTTTATTGTAGCAAATGTCAAGTATGTCATGTTTTTGCCTCTCCTAGATTTACCAAATGTTTGACTCCATCCCCCAATCTGGAAAAACATAAAAGTAAAAGTAAAAATTAACTAACTGTGCTTCCCCTAACAAACCTCGCAGTAGATTACAAGTAACATATTGAAGAATAACTCATTTCCCAAAAGACAACTCTATCTTATATATCAATTGCAAATAGTGTAAAATCCGATGTGTAGTGTATAACATAGTGAAGAGTGAATATGACAAGTTACAGGTTAAAATAATAGTTATAACCAATCTTGACAATTTGTTAAATTTCAGTCGACTTATCCAAAAGCAACTTATAGGGCAAGTGTTAAGAAAGGGGAGTTGGTGTTTTGCTGGCCTCGGAAAGTGTGCGTAGAAGTCTTGAGGATGTATGGTTAGGAAATAAAATATTATATGTGAGCCTAAATGGATTCCGCCAACTAGGAATGAGTTGAAGTGCAATGTGGACATATGCTTCCATTCTTTGTGCAATTGTGCAGGGAGAAGAGCATGTACATGATGTTGTGTTGGGGATTACCGCGGACGCTTTTGAATAGCTAAAACAGAGTGGTGCAGGGCTGCTGCTGCTCTATCTCCGAGAGAAGCTGAATAATGGGGATTAAGACAAGCTATGTGTTGGATGACAAAATCAAGTCAAGAAGAAGTTATTTTTAAAATGGACTCGAAACAAGTGGTGGATAATGTGCTCTTTAACAAGGTGAACAAAATGAAATATGGATTTCTAATAGGGGATTGTATTATAGATTAATCCTAGATAGTCAGAACAGCTTTCACGTTGTATTTACTAAGCAACACGATAATGGGAGTGCTCACATTCTAGCTAGGGCATCTATGGATAATGATTCTTGCGCAACTTTTCAGCATATCCCACATTGTATTCTCAATATTATTAATTATGAAATGAATTGAGTTTTTACGGTAAAAAACACATAGTAACATTTAAAACACCTTTAATTTAATGTACATTTGTCAATTAGTATATGATGCAAAGTGTAGTATTAATACATACGATTCAGATGTACATTTATCGAATAGCATACTCAGCTCGTAAGAAGTTCATACCTATATAATCTGAGCTATTACAAAGAGTTCACTCAAAATATTACCTGTAACTTATTTGACAATATATATATATATATTGATAGATTATTAATTCTAGAGAGAAGTGAGAGCTAGAGAGAGAAAGTGAGTAATTATATTTCTCAACCCCCTATAACTAGCCCCAAGGGGTCTATTTATAGGTAAAAATGTGGATTTGGGCTCCCAGCCATGGGCTTAGGAGGCCCATTACAATAATCATGCCTTCTTTGGGCGAAACAGGGCCACTAATGGGCTGTGTACAATACTTAGTAAACAAAGTAGAGAAATACATTCTGCCTGGACGGAGCCGGGCCGATGCGATGCTTTTTGGCCGACGCGGTCCCATGGCCGATGCGGTCCATGGGCCGACGCGGACCCGGAAGTCCAGGTGCGCTTCCTGGGCCGGTTCGATCCAGGCCGATGCGGACCACACCATGGCCGAAGGGGCCACGTGGGTGTTCTCCTGGTCACCGTTGTCTTGAGTAGGCGGGCCATGGGATCCAGGCCCATATACTCTATCAGGAGTCCCCCACTCTCTGAGCTGTGGCGAAGCCGAAGCGAAAGGGAGTACTTGTTCCTTTCTGGCTGGCCGTTGTGTGCTTTATTTGACGAAGAGTTTCTGCTTCGATTCTGGATGAAGCGCGCTTGGGAATTCGTAACCTTTGTGCGGGCCGATGCACTCTCTGTGGAAGTGCTTTTGAAGACGAGGCGATGCGCTTTCTTTTTGTAGATGTGATGAATTTTGGTGTGGACAAGTTGGCATGCTTTTATTGTCATTTTGTTGGGTTTGAAGAGCTCCCATCTGTCCTTTTGGCCGTAGCGAAGACCCACTTTCATGAGATGAAGATGGTTGATTCTGTTTATGCATACGATGCGATGCGCACCTTCGATTTGTTATGCAGCCGAAGCGTTTTGACCTGTGAGTTTTTGTTCAGGTGAGACGATGCGGTCCTCTCGTGTACGCCGCCGTTGCGTGTTAGATCTCGCATGGTGAGTTTCTTTTTATTTTGGGTTTTGCGGCCGATGCGACTCTTAATGCTTTTCTGAGGTGAATTGTCCGTCTTTTGTTGCTGGTGAGCCGTAGCACACCGTTTTATATTAAGGCCGTTGCGCTCTCTCTTCTTGTAGCCGTCGCGCGCTGGATTTTGTTTTTCGGGTTCTAATTTTAGGGCTCTTTAGCCGATGCGATGTGATCTGCAATGCTATTGAGGTGAATTTTCTGTAACGAATCCTTCGTGTGTTGAGGCCGTCGCGTTTCCATTTATGCTGTTCTCCTTTTCTGTAGCCAATACAGTCCCCCAGTCCCCCACTCCTTTGGCCGAAGAATTTTCGAGGCACAAGGGAGTCATGGTGTACCCAAGCCGATATGATACCTTTGCGCTAGTCGTGAGTCCAGCCCTTAGGCGAACCTGTTCAAGGTAACCCTGTGGGAGAACCCTTGGACGAAGGCCGCAATACCAGGGTCATCATCGGACGATGTGCGCGTGAGTGGACGTAGCGGTACTTGTGGTTCTTGGGGTTGCTTTTGGGGCCGTAGCGCGTTTCGTTGATGCGTTCATGCCTTTGGTAAAATTTGGCCGTAGCGGGTTTCTCCTTGTTTTTTGAGTGAGTAGGCCGGTGCTTACCCTAGCCTCAGAGCTTGTTGGGCCGTAGCGGCGGTCTCAAAGTGGAATGTGAAAAGGCAAGCGCTGATTGGCTTTGGGAGAGGTGCCGTTGAGGTGCCCAATTGGGGATTGCCACGTGTAGTGACCGTTGGAGGGGTGCCTATAAATACCCCTAACCCCCGAGGCGATACCTCATTTGCAACCTTGCTGAGCAACGAAGTGCTGTCAAACTTTCTAGAGAGAGAAACCTTCGGAGTGTTCCTTCAAGTCTTCATCAATCTTTTCCAGATCTTCAAATCTTCAAAGGTTAGATTCTTCTTTGTTCTTCATTTTTTCCTTATACTTTGCTTCCTAGGGGGTTAGATCTAGTGTTTGTAGGGAAACCACTTTGATCCGAAAAACCGCCCTTAGGAATAGGTGTAGGTGTTATGCCGTTCTCTAACGGCCGTAGCGTTCCCTCCCCTATTGATTTGACAGCTTCTTTGGACGAGTCGGATTGGCCCTTCGACGAGGACGATACGTCCCCTGGAGTTGATCTTCGACTGATTGAAGCCTTCGAGATCGAGATGGAGAATACCGCCGACTACCGCACCTCCGTAGATGAGAGAATGAGCGCCGACGCGGGAGCACATAATTCTGGTGAGGACGAGGCGACATCTAGCTTACCTCTGAGGGGGGATGAGGCATCCTCGTCTGCCCACATTCCTTGTCCTCCGCCGATATCGTCAGTAGCGGGGGAAGGCCCCTCGGCTCCTAAGACGAAAAAACCGTACCGGCGGAAGCAGCGTAAGGGAGTACCGCAGGGGTTTTCACAGTTAGATCTCAGCAACTTGTACATTATTCGGCCGGAGGGGACCCTCGGCGATTATCATGTTGCGCAGCTGTACGTTGGTCCCTACGGCCGTGTCAGAGCCCCCTTGCCGTCGGATCATGTTCTAAACCCGCCTTTGGGCTATTTTGGTGTCTACCCGATGAGTTTTGCCAAGGGTCTGAGGTTCCCTCTTCATCCCTTCATCAAGGAGTATCTTGAGATGGTGGAGCTCCCTCCGGCCCTATTGACTCCCAACAGCTTTTCGCTCATCATCGGCTTCTTAATCCGGTGCAAAGAGTTGGAGATTTCGCCGACGACTGCCCTGTTCATGAATTTGTTCCGGATAGGCCGAGGGAGCCATCAAAATTGTGCCGGCTACGCAACCCTGCAGCAGATTAGTGGGAGGAGGTCGTTTACGGATCTCCCTACGTCCATTCATGGCTGGAAGGCCAAGTTCGTGTTCGTCACCTTGGGTCAGGGTGGCTTCTTTCCTTCCAATGGTCACAGCGGCCTCTTTGAGTTGCATACCCCCCCTTGGAGTGCTGAAATAAGCAATCAGATAGAGGCCTTTATTAAGGGGGGGCCGAGGAGCATCAAGACGTACGTTACGGAGTACAGGATGGCTGCCCTCGGCTTCGTGCGATATTATTGTCCCGGTGATGTGGACGATGACCTCTGGCCAAGGATCGAGGGGTCTTATGAGCAAGCCGACGGTCCTTCACTCGGCGTCCCTGCCGAAGCCGAAGGTTGTCCTTCGTCTGCTTTTCCTTCGTAATGTGTTTAGTTATTTGCCTTACTGATGTTTGCTTTGTTCTGTGCAGGTTTTGTCATGGACCGCGTATCTTTCATGGCTCGAGCTGCCAAGAAGGCCGATGCGGAGCTCAAGGCCGCCCGGGCTGCCGAGAAAGCAAAGGCCGCTGCCGGTAGTTCCCAAGGAGGGGGTGAGGCCGTCAAGAAGGCTGCTCCCAAGAAGAAAAGAGGAGCTGATGAAGGTCAGAAGACTCTGACCGAAGCGGGTCTGAAACCACAGGCCCCAAAGAAGACGAAGAGGGCCCCATCGACTGATGAGGCCGGCGCTCCTTCTCAGGCTGTCATGGATGTCCAGCCCCCGGTGGTCCCTCCAGTGAATGAGCCACCTTCCTCGGCCGTGGTGGCTTCGGCTTCTCGCGTGCTCCCCTCTACGGCTGCTGCTGCCCGTCTAGAGGAGGCCCTTGCCAAAGGGACGTACGAGGTAACAGTGCGCTACCCTGTGAAGGGCGGTCTTTTTAACGAGACCGTCAGTGGCGACGACGTGCTTGCTCAGGCTATGCCTGAGTATGATCGTCAGTACCTCGGCCGACAAGGCCAACATGTTCGGCTGGACGATGGAGGGATAGACTACGTCGTCCAGGTAAGACATTTTCCTATATAATTTTTCCTTTGCTTTTGTTTTTTCACCTCTAACTTCGTCTTGCTTCGTCCAGGGTGCCCTTATGCTGAGGGAGCAGCATTGGAGGCAGGAAGCCGAGATAGAGCGGCTGAAGAAGATGGAGGCCAAGGCTGCTTCAGCCGATGAGGCCCTTCAAGATTTGCGGGACAAGGCTAAGGCTGCGGAGGATGAAATGAAGCTCCTTCAGGTGCGTCTTGATGAGGCCGAGGCGGCCCGGAAGAAGGCTGATGAGACCGTTGCCGCTGCTATTCGAAGAGCCGAGGAGGCGGAGCGCCTCAAAGCTGATGCTGAGAAGGCCGCCGAGGAGGCCGTAGTGAATTTCAAAGCCGAGGGGTGGAAAGCCGAAGATCAGATCCCCTTTTGCTACGAAGTGGTGGCCGAGAGGCTCACCGATTGGGTGACAAAGGACCCTGCTGGTGAGGACTTCTGGATGAACGAGACGCGAGCCTTCTACAACTGCGGCCAGTACAGGATGCAGAGGCTGATTTATAGGAAGCTTCGTCGTCGCTTCCGGAAGATGAGGCCGAGGGGTTTGAGCCTACCCCGGCGGATGAGAAATCCTGATGAGGATATGAAGCTCCCCCCGTCGGAGAGGCAGCCTCCAATTCTCAGTTCGGACGAGGGGGAAGCGTCCTGGAGTGAAAGTGACGATTATCTGCTCGAGGGCTCTGCCGATTCCAAGGCCGATGAAGATGATGACGCCGAAACCAGTAGCGGTGGCGGGGAGGACGTCGGTCAGAGCAAAGAGCAAGCCGATGAGGCAGCATAGTTTTGTAGGCTTTTTTATTTTGTAATTTTAGCATCAAAGTGCATGTAACGGCCGAAGCGCCCACCTCTTGTATCTTGTCGTCCCAAATTAATGAACTTTTTTGCCTTTGAATGGATTTGTTGCTTCGTCTTTCACCACCATAACTTTATGTGTGTTTTAATTCTCGTGATTTTTGCCAAGTGTTAGGGTTGCCTTTCGCGTCATCCGGGTGCCCCATGAGGACGATGCGGGTGGCACAACGTCTTGGGTAAGTAATCCTTTGTCGTAGGGACGATGCGTCTAGTAACGTGCACCTTTGGTTGGAAATTTTTCTAAGTATCACAATTCCGTTTTGGCATCCTTTTTAATTGAGACGTAGCGACCCCCATTCTTTGAGGACGATGCGCCTCGTTATCCCTTGATGAATTCCGAGTCATGTTGTTGGATTCTGATTCCTGAAGTGTCGGGGACGAAGCGATACGCGGTGGTAGTGCATCGTCTTTGTGGTGATACGGCTTTAGATAATTTGCTAAGTGTCAAGCTTGCCTAGCTGTGGGTGTTTCGCTCCTTTTTATCACTTAGGTTTTGCTACTTGTAGACGATGCGACTCATCGTCCGAGTGCTGGAATGTGATCTCGTATAACTGGAACCGAAGCGATTCCGTTTTGTGACGCTACAGTTGGGGCCGTTGCGTGCACTTCGGATCCCTGTATAGTGAAAACCTGATATGTACTTAGCCGATTTTGAGGCTTTGGCTTTTGTGGGGATTTTGTTTTATGCTCGAGGCCGGCGAGTGCACGGTCCGTCGGCTTCCCTTTTTTTTTTTTTTTTTTTTTTTTTTTTTTTTTTGGGTGGCCGAAGGGTTACTGTCCCTTCGTCCATGTGCGGTAGTTTGTCCGCTACGATCTTCGCGTGAATTAGTGCGAGGGAGTAAATACGCCCTCGGCTTGGTGTGTCAGTGGCACCTTTTTTGGCCTTTCCACGTCTATCGTTGACGAGGGACCGGACTTGGCATCGTCTATTGACGGCCGCCCTTTGTGGTCCTGAGCGAAATTTTACTGACGGGTGGAGTTTTTGTAACCTCAGCCTTAATTCAGGCCTGTCGTCCTGCGGTTTCCGCGCGGACGACGCGGTATACTTCTCCGTTTTGAAGACGTTGGACCATGCACACAGGTCCTTCGTCCTGCATGTCGCCGGCCGATTTGGGTGTTTCACCGCTTGTGCCGATACGATATTTAGGTGCGTTGTTTATTGCAACGGCTTTGTAGGCGCGTTGTGGATCGCAACGGCCTTGGGTGCGTTGTGTATTGCAACGGCTTTGGGTGCGTTGTTGATTGCAACGGCTTTAGGTGCGTCGTTTATTGCGACGGCTTTAAGTGCGTTGTTTTTTGCAACGGCTTTAGGTGCGTTGTTTTTTGCAACGGCTTTAGGTCGCACCGGACCCGGGTGTTTTACACCGCTTAGGCCGATGCGGTCCTTTTTGCTCAAATCTTGAAAGATTGGATGAAACATGAATTTTATTCAATAAGTGGCGCTAGGCCGAGGGTGTTTTATTCAACCAATGAGCCGAGGGGTGGGGGACGTTGCCCGCTTCACCACTTCTCGAGTTATTGGTAAAATTTCACCAGGTGGTGTACATTCCACAATCGTGGTACATCTGACCCATTAGGGTTCTTTAGTCTATAAGTGCCGGCTTTGATGACGGCGCTGATGATGTAGGGCCCTTCATATTTGACGGCGAGCTTTCCTCCTTCCGTCGGCTTGCTTGCTTCCCTTCGGCGGAGAACGTAGTCTCCCACCTGGAATTCGCGAGAGCGGACCTTGGCGTCGTAGTAGGATTTAACTTGTCGTCTGTAGTTCTCCGCTCTGAGGTAGGCCATTTCTCGTCTCTCATCAATGAGGTGCAAGTCAATCTTCATGGCTTCTTCATTGGCTTCGGGGTCGTATTGTGTGACCCGTCGGCTGGGGAGGGTGACTTCAGTGGGAGCCTTGGCTTCGAAGCCGTAGCACAAGGAGAATGGTGTCTCCCCGGTGGCCCTCCTCGGCGTAGTGCGGTAGGACCATAGGACGTTGGGGAGCTCGTCGACCCAACTTCCGCCTTCTTCTTCGAGTTTCTTCTTCAGCCCCTCCAAGATGGTTCTGTTGGCGTTCTCAACCTGCCCGTTGGCCTGAGGGTAGGCAACGGAGGAGAAGCGGTGTTTGATGCCCCATTCTTGGAGGAGGGTTTGGAATGGTTCGGCCTCAAACTGGGTGCCGTTGTCCGATATGATCTCCTGAGGCACGCCGAAGCGGGTGAGGATGTTCTTGTAGACGAACTTTCGACACCGCGCTCCGGTGATGCTTGCGAGTGGTTCGGCCTCGACCCACTTGGTGAAGTAATCGATGGCGACGATGATATATCTGTTGTTGCCCGCGGCTCTTGGTAGTGGGCCGACGAGGTCGATGCCCCATCTGGAAAATGGAATGGCGGTGCTGACCGGGGCGTAGTTGACAGCTGGTCGGCCAGGTGCCCTTTGATAGTGTTGACATGCGCTGCATTTGCGGGCAACTTCAGCACAATCACGCGCCATCGTCGGCCAGAAGTAGCCTTGGACGACGAGGCGGCGCGACATGCTGAAGGGCCCCTGATGTGATGAGCATACGCCGCAGTGGACTTCTTCCATGGCCACTTCGGCCTCATTCTGGTGTAGGCACCGGAGGAGGGTGCCATTGTATGATCTCTTGTAGAGCTTGTCACCCTCAATGACATAGCTTGGGGCCCTGAGCTTGGCTAGTTTGGCCCTCTCCTCGTCCTCTGGTAGCGTGCCGGAGGTGATGTATGTTGCGATGTCAGTGATCCAGTCCTCCGGCTGGTGTTGGATGGAGAGTATAGGGCTAGCATGAATGCTTGACATGCTCAACTCTTCCACCTTAGCTATCTTGGAGATGTGCTCAGGGGTGTCGGAGCTGAGCTTGGAGAGTATGTCGGCCTCGGCGTTCTCCGCCCTTGGGATCTGAGTGATCTCGTAGGTATCGAACGCCTTGAGCAATTCCGCAGCGGCCTCCTTGTATTGCTTCATCCGCCCTTCTTTGGCCTCGTAGGAACCCTCCATCTGGCTCACTACGAGTTTGGAGTCGCATTTGATTCTGACGTTGCGTGCTTTGAGGCCAGCGGCTAGTCTGAGACCGCTGAGGAGCGCTTCATACTCGGCCTCATTGTTGGATACTTTGAAGTTGAAGCGGATGGCATAGTATGCTCTGAAACCTTCCGGGGAGATGAGGACGACGCCACCCCCACAGGCTTTGGTGGCCGAGGACCCGTCCGTGTAGAGGGTCCAGGCTTCGTCTGGTTCAGCTCCTGTGGTGGTAACGGCCGTCTCCCTTGCCGTGCACTCTGTGACGAAGTCAGCCAAGGCTTGCCCTTTGATGGATGGCCTCGGCTTGATCTCAATCTGGTACTGGCTCAGGAATATTGCCCACTTGATCATCCTTGGAGAGCTGGTTGGGCTCCTCATGAGGGCGCCCAACGGCTGATGCGTGAGGACATGGACGGGGTGAGCCTGGAAATAGTGCCCCAGCTTCTTCACCGTGTGGACGATGGCCAGCACCGTTTTCTCGATGGGGGAGTACCTGAGCTCGGCCTCCCGCAACGTCTTGCTGACGTAGAATATTGCCTTTTGTACCCCGTCATCCTCCCTGATGAGTACGGAACTGATGGCCGACGTGCTCACTCCTAAGTAAAGGAAGAGAGTCTCGCCGGGTTGGGGCTTGGATAGGACGGGTGGGGAGGCGAGATATTGCTTCAGCTCTTCAAAGGCTTGTTGGCACTCCGTCGTCCATTTGAAGTTGGTGGCCTTCCTCATTATTTGGAAGAAAGGGAGCGATTTCTCCGCGGATTTTGAAAGGAAACGGTTCAGGGCCGCAAGGCGTCCCGTCAGCCGTTGCACTTCTTTGATGTTGCGGGGCGGCTCCATGTTGATAATGGCTTGTATCTTCTCCGGGTTTACTTCGATGCCCCTTCGGCTGACCAGGTACCCCAAGAATTTACCTCCCTGGACGCCGAAGGTGCACTTCTTCGGGTTGAGCCGGAGGTTGTATTTCTTCATGATTTCAAAGATGCCCCGGAGGTCGTCGGCATGAGTTGTGGATTGTTTGCTTTTGACGATCATATCGTCGACGTATGCTTCCATCGTCCGACCTAAGACTGCTCTAAAAATCCGGGCTACCATCCTTGTGTAGGTGGCGCCGGAGTTTTTGAGCCCAAAGGCCATGACGAGGTAACAAAAAATTCCCTCCGGGGTCATGAAAGCAGTTTTCTCCGCGTCATCTTCATGCATGGATATCTGGTGGTACCCTCTGAACGCGTCGAGGAACGACATCAACTCGCACCCCGCCGTCTCGTCCACCAACTGATCAATGTTGGGGAGAGGGAATGGGTCCATTGGGCACGCCTTGTTTAGGTCAGTGTAATCAACACACATTCTGAACGTGGGCGGCTTTGGTGCGAGGACGACGTTCGCCAACCACGTGGGGTACTTCACCTCTTTTATGTGCCTGATGGAGAGCAGCATGGCCACTTCGGCCTTGACAAATTCCCTCCTGTCGGCGGAGAGGTAGCGCTTCTTCTGTTTGATGGGGGAGGAGGCCGGGTTCACCGATAGCCGATGTGTGATGACTTTCGGGCTGATGCCCGGCATGTCCTCTGGTCCCCATGCGAAGACGATGGCGTACGCTCTCAGGACAGAGAGGATGTCCCTTCGGATCTGTTGGGGGAGCTGTGTCCCAATCTTCAGCGTGCGTTCCGGCCGGGAGACGTCCAACGGAACGTCTTCCACGTCTCCGACTGGTTCAGCCTTTGGTGTGTCTTCTTCGGCCGAGGCGGTGGTGATAGTGTCTATCCGCTCCTCGGCCTCATTGATCTTTCTTGTGAGCTTCAGGTAGCAAGCCCTGGCTATCTTCTGGTTCCCTCTGGCGTAACCGACACCGTCCTTGGTGGGGAACTTGAGGCATAGATGTCTCATGGAGATGATGGCCTCAAGGTCTTCCAAGGCCGGTCGTCCCCAGATCATGTTGTGGGCGCTGTCCAGGTTGACAACCACGAACTCCATGTCAATCTTCGCCTGACAGGTACCGTCACCGACCACAACGGGAAGCACTATCGTGCCCTCGGCGTCGATAGAGTCCCCGGTGAAGCCGGATAACGGAGTCCGTATCGGCCGGAGCTCGGACTTCTTCAACTTCAGTTGTCTGAAGGTGTCGACGTACATCACATTGACAGAGCTGCCAGTGTCGATGTAGTTGCGGTGGATGATGTTGTTGCCTATCTCGCATTTGACGACGAGGGCGTCCCTGTGGGGCAAGGGGCCGAAGGGGAGGTCCTTGTCAGTGAAAGTGATAGCTTCCACGCTCCGTCGCTTCGGCTGAGGGGGGGCGTGGGACACCTCACCAATGTATAGGGACTGAGCCCATTTTTTCCGTTGGGTAGCCGAGTCCCCCCCTGTGTTCCCGCCGACGATAATGTGAATGTGATGCTTCTTCTGGCGGGGCTCTTCTTCGTCCTCGTCTTCACTGAGGGCGCCGATCTCCCTCTTTTTCCCGGAGGATCCTTCCCCCCTTTTGCCAGGGTTAACCCAAGTGTTACTCTTGGGGGCACCCTTGACAAATTGGGAAAGTTCCCCCTGTCGGATGAGGCCGTCGATGTGCCTCTTCAGGGTGGTGCAGTCTTCGGTCTTGTGGGATGTCTGGCGGTGGTACTTGCAATACATCCCTCCCTTGTGGACCGCAAATATCTCCTCTTCTGACCTGGGGTCCTTCACAATGAGGCCCTGCGCCTCGGCGTGGTCGAGGACGACGCTCACCGGGTGGGTGAGGGGGATGCGCTGTGCCTCCAACTTTGGGCGCCATGAGCGGTCCTCTCTTCGCTGTCCGCCTTGCTCCTGGTGTGCCTTCTTTGGCTGGTGCTGTCCCTTGTTGGCCGGCGGGTGGTGGGGGTTGGACGAGGAGTCCTTCTTTTGTTGCTTCTCCCCACCCTTCTTCTGGTTCAGGAGCTCGTCGGCATCAGCGTGCCTATCTCCGCGTCGGAGCGCCGCGAGGTATGACCGCGGCGGCTCTGTGAACAGACTCCGGGCGAAATGGCTCGGCCGGAGTGCTCCGCGGAGGAAGGCCAGGAGGGTGCGCTCATCGGCTCCTTCGCATTCGTCTGCTTCCCTCGTCCAGCGATCGAGGAAGGCTCGGAGCGTCTCCTCCGGCTGTTGTTTGATGGTCAGGAGGTGAGCGAAATGCTTCTTTGCGCGCTTCCTCCCGGCAAAGTGGGTGAGGAAGCGCTGAGCAAGGTCCTGCCATGAGTCGATGCTCCCCTCCGGAAGGTTGTTGAACCAATCGTACGCTGGTCCTTCCAAGGTGGAGAGGAACCAGCGGCACATGTATTCCTCCGAAGCGTTGGTCATCATCATGTTGTTCTGGTAACGGGTGAAGTGCTCCTGAGGATCAGTGCGGCCGTCATATGGCTTGATCGGATTCCCCTTGTACTTCTCTGGGATGGGAGCGGAGAGCACCCTCGCAGAGAAGGGGGTCTGGGTCCGTATTTGGATGACGGGCTCGTCGCGTCGGTCGGCCAGCTCCCTCTCCAAGGCACTGACCTTGTGCAGGAGTGCATCGTAGTTGGGATGCTGGGATATGTGAGCCGCCGCGCGCCCTGCGGCCTCTCGGGCCTCCATATCAGCGAGGCGCTTCTCCAGGCGGGCGATGATTTCGTCCCTTGGGTCCGTGTTGGCCGCAGCGCCACCCAGAGGGGTCTGGATCCGGGCCGCGTGGGCCAGGTTGATCTGATGGCGCGCATCATTATCATTCAGTTTTCCCTTTCCTTTGTCTGGTCGGGGCCGATCCGTTGTCCGGGAGACGGACCCGAAGCTTTCCTTTGGCGACCCCGGCTCGCGGCCACCCAACCGACCCGCCACCCCTCCCGTAGGTACCCGACGGCTCGCGATGTCACCCAGCCTGTTGAAGGCTGAGATTTTACCGCGAGGTTGGGCCGGTGTATCCCGGGTAGGTGAGGCAGTGTGGGAATGGGTGTCCACTGCGAGGACGTCCTCGTTGTCACCGAAGAAGGTGACGCCTTGCGGACGAGGTGGCGGTGGTGGCACCGTCGCGACTTCTCCAGTCACGGGAGTGTTGTTCTCCCCTGTCTTTGCGACGAGGGCGCTGACGACGTTGGGGTCCTGGAGAATGCTTGCGACGATGGCCGATAGTGCGGCCGGGTTGATCTGGGGGGCAGCAGGGTGAGAAGTCTGCTGGCCCGAAACGCGATCAGCATTGCGTCTGTCCTCGAGCCCGATGCGGGCGTCTGGGGCAGTCCTGTTGAGCTGGACGCGGAGGTCGGCCGCTGCGTGCTCGACCTCCTGAGCATTCTCATCCTGGATGATGAGATCATTGGGGACGTTGTCAGCAACGTTTCCCTGCCCTTCCTGGTTCAGAGGGGCATTCCTACCGGTGTTCTTTGACCTAGTTCTTGTCATTCTGTTGCGTCTAGTAGCGACGAGGGGTACTCACTTGATCTGTTCTAGGCTCTCAATGAAAAGCACCAAATGATAGATTATTAATTCTAGAGAGAAGTGAGAGCTAGAGAGAGAAAGTGAGTAATTATATTTCTCAACCCCCTATAACTAGCCCCAAGGGGTCTATTTATAGGTAAAAATGTGGATTTGGGCTCCCAGCCATGGGCTTAGGAGGCCCATTACAATAATCATGCCTTCTTTGGGCGAAACAGGGCCACTAATGGGCTGTGTACAATACTTAGTAAACAAAGTAGAGAAATACATTCTGCCTGGACGGAGCCGGGCCGATGCGATGCTTTTTGGCCGACGCGGTCCCATGGCCGATGCGGTCCATGGGCCGACGCGGACCCGGAAGTCCAGGTGCGCTGCCTGGGCCGGTTCGATCCAGGCCGATGCGGACCACACCATGGCCGAAGGGGCCACGTGGGTGTTCTCCTGGTCACCGTTGTCTTGAGTAGGCGGGCCATGGGATCCAGGCCCATATACTCTATCATATATATATATATATATATATATATATATATATATATATATCTAAAATATTATAAACACCAATGAGGGTTAGGGTATTTTTGACATATTAAATGTGTTGGTGTAACACAAAGCATCATGCTCTTGTACATTATGCTCTCATCATCGTACCATATATTTGTACTAATGTTTTTCTCCGTAACTTCTGTTAAAACCCAAACGTACGTTTAGCCATCTCTTCCCTGACTTCAAGTTGTTCCTTCCATCTTCAAGTATTTAATGTAATTTTTTTTCATTTAATAGTTTCCTTCCATCTTCATCATTTTTTGAGCCATCTCATTTTAAATCCCATTATCCCAATTAAAATGGTTGTAGTCTAGAATTGAGTTGCAGGAACCTTATTGTTGGAGACTATTTTTGTCCCTCATTTTCTTTGTCGCAGGAAGAAAATATGTAAAATGCCCATAGAAACGATTTCTTCTTATAGAATTTTTTTTTTGCAAATCTTCTTATATAATTATTATTTGGATTTTTATGAATAGTATGTGTGACTTTTTGGTATGTCTTGAATATGCATTTTCTCATCATGACCAATATTTCTCATCATAGTATGTCTTGAATGGTAATTGGCATTTTCCCCAACCAATTTTTGTGTGTGATTATTTAAATGCGTGCTATGATTTTTTTCAATGCCATTATAAACTTTTGTACGTAAGTAGTGGACATTTCATTCATTCTCTCTTCAATATAGATCCTAATGAATTAGAATGTATAATTTAAATACACATTTTTTTATTATCCAAAATTCGAGCTACATATGTGTCAAATTCCTTTGAAAATAATGATATTTGTATACTACCTCCCTTCTTTTTTATTAGTCCTCTTAGAGTTTAGCACGGGTTTTAATAATAAAGTGGTAGGGTAAGTATAGAGTGTGTAGGGTAAATGATAAAGTAGGAAAAATGATATATTAAAAAGAGTAAAGTGATGATAAAGTAGGAAAGAGAGTGTATTAAGAAGAGTAAAGTAATGGAAAAGTAGAAAAGAAAAAGTAGTTTGTAAAAAGTAAGTGGGGTAAACGTAATAAAGGTAGGGGTATTTTCTCAAAAACTTTCCTTAAAAGGAAAGGAGGACAAATAAAAAAACGTTCCAAAAAGAAAAGAATGACTAATAAAAAAGAACGGGGGGAGTATTAGTTTACAGATTAGTATGAACATTCTATTTGTAGTTTCTTGTGTATTCTTCGCGCTTCATGGATTTCACTTGTGGGCAAGGTTGTTAAAATCGTATTTATGAATCGAATCGGTAGATGTTTTTAAAAATCGAATCGTAAAATCGAATCGCAAATCGTAAGATTTTACCAAACATATTTTAATAATTATAAAATAAATAAATATTAAAATTAAGTTGCAAGTTAATGATATTATATCATTTCATTACATAAAACTATACCTAAAATGTCAAAAGCAGGATTTATAAACTGTTTTTATAATGTAAATGTATTGAATAATAACATTAAACATGTGTAAAACATAAAAATAATTAAGTAACACAAGAATCCATTACTTTTGTAAATAAATGATTCATATTATTATTATTGGAATTATGTATCAATTTGTAGTTGTTAATTTTAATAAATTTGAACCACTTTCACCAAAAACAACTTATTACGATTTTGCTACGATTTTATACGATTCTACACGATTTTAGGACGATTTTTTTACGATTTTGTACGATTTTATGATTTTACGATTTTACCTGCGATTTGAATCGCTTTACTAATGTAGAATCGTAAAATCGTACGATTTTACGATTTAAATCGAGATTTTAACAACCTTGCTTGTGGGTATTCTGGCTATTAATCAACGACTTAATCGGTCATTGGTCAACTAAGAGTTTGGGATAGTGTCATGTGCACCGGTGTGTAAAAGGATGAAGAATTTTATCAATGCGGAACTTGAAATTAATACGGAGTATAGACCAATTATCAATTCACTGAAATATGAAATGTGTTGCTCGAATGATTGGAAACTATCAATATAGGACATAAGATGTCATTGATTTTACTACTCCGTATTTTTTATTTTAAAATTTAAAAATACTATTTAATTCTATTAACTAATATTTTTTTTTTGAAAAAAGTCATCAAGTGATAATTGATACTACCTTCGTCCCGTTGGAGTTTGTCAAGTTCAAATTAAATGAGAAATAAGAAAAGTAAAAAATACGCGTTTAGGATTTGTGCAGAGGGGAGGGAACTGAGCAGAGCCACAAATTAGTTACTTTAATAGGAAAGTGACAAAGTTTTTGTGACTACCCAAAAGAAAAAGTTGGCAAAGTCCAATGGGACAGATGAAGTATATATATATTTCAAGTGATAGATTGATAGAATTTGAAAGGATTAAAACAACCCGGAGTTAAATTTGATAGCTATGTATGTTTTAAAGAACTGCTGCCTCCGTCCTTATTTAGAAGTTCCACTTTTATTTTTTTGATATTCCTTAAAATAGTCCTCTTTTCTAAGTAAACACAACAATGCATAATAGAGTCAAACAATGTCAAAACAATGTTAAACAGTGTCAAACAATGTCATACAGTCCCATTTCCTTAATACGAGTGCAAAAGAGTGAAACTTTTAAATAGGACATATTATGGGATAATAATAAATATAAACGAGGGTAAAGGCTTATGTGAAATATGTTTATACATGTTATACCAGTAATGAATCATGTTAAACTTTTGTCTCCCATTCCAGGTTTCTCCGCTCAACATACTAAGGGTTCATTATTTTTCAGACTAATTGCTTCAAGTTATTCTAGATAATTACTTAAGCCAAGTTATTTTAGATAATTATTGTAGCTATTTTATTTAAAAATAATTTAATTGAAAAATAATTTGTCATAAATTGCTAGAATCAATCAATGCAGCCACTTCAGTCAGGACATCATAAGCTTCAATTCAATCCAACCAATTTTAATGTTACCAAAGAAGTCTTAATTTATATTCTTTCTACATTCAAAGAATCACCATAAAATCACAACAAAATAGATACATACCTTGTAAGAGTAAAAAGCACTTAATTTTTTGATAAAACAACATAGACAAATATGGTGGGTGTGTGAAAATACAATTTCTTTTATATGCTAATGATACTTTATATATTATGAAATTAGAAAAATAGAGCCTAGCACATATGTGGGTTTGCATTTATTTTATTTTATTTTTGGATCCTCTTTCATGTTTAGGAACATTAAATATCTATTTTAAGTTGATGTAAGTATTAACATGTCAAATACAAAAAGTAATCATATTAGACCAACATACAATATCCACATTTCTCAATAAAAAGTATATTGGGTATTTTATTCAATCGCGCAACGCGCGTGTTAAAAACTAGTATATATATATATATATATATATATATATATATATATATATATCTGAGGCGTTAATGCAAACATAAAATTGTTTTGGCTATTAAGTGCTTTTCAAAAGAATTTTAAGTTGTTTGTTGAATTTAGAAGGTGTTCCACAACGACACAATTAAAATGTGAAATGTATGAAAATAAAGATGTTATATATTTTTTATTTGATTATTTAGTACCCCTAAATATCCCAAAATTAGAAGAGTTGGGTCTTCTTTGGAGAAGACAAGGAAGAAAATGGTGATGAGGGATGTTTCTGACTATTAGTTACCAGAATGATACTGAAAGAGGGTGTAAGCGCGCGCGATTTCTAAGGAAGATGATCGAGGAGAACAATTATATATATAGCCCTTTTCTTGTCTTCCCGATCGAATTTTGAGCTGAAATTTGGTATGGATAAACTAGACTTCATGAAGAACATGCTCAAAAAATTTCATCAAAAACTCCCATCGGGAAGTGCCCGAAATGCCCTCGGCCGGACGGCGGTTCCCGTCAGGCCGGCTGGACAAGAAAAGGGCTCTCTCTCTCTCTCTCTCTCTATATATATATATATATATATATATATATATATATATATATATATATATATATATATATATATATATATATATATATATAATTTGGTTCAAATGAGAACATTCCTTAATGTGAGATGTGAGAACTAATCCTCACCCTCCAAAATATATGCCGATCTGCGATGGAGTAAACGACACTAGAGGGTATTTACGTATTATCATTTCCTTGCTGGCAGTTTAAATAACGGATCTTACACTTAATGCGTTCCACATGTTTAAGGATGTGTTGGGATATATTATCCCGGCCTATTACTGTTCAGGAGCCCAAGACATTATTCAGTACGGAGCCCGAGCAACTAGGCCCATTTCGGCCCATCCAACCCACTTTAGCGATTTGGGCCCACTCCGGCCCATGCGGCCCATTAGGGTGGAGAGCATCCCCTTCTCCTTTCCCTATTTATAGGAGGTTTTCCCTCCATGTAAAGGATCTTTTTCTTCTTCCCCAACTCTTATTTTCTCTTTAGCTAGTTCACTACTCCATTAATGGGAGCTCAAATTGTACTGTGTAATGGTGAGGAGAGTCCTAATGAGAATGAGAGGGCTTGGACATTAGCCTAAAAAGTCCCGTGGTTTTCTCCCTTTCCGGGTTTCCACGTAAAAATAGCTTGTTCATACACATTTATACATATATTTACTATATCGTGTTGGATTAAACTCAACACTGGCGCCGTCTGTGGGAATCTGTCCAAAAAGATTCGTGTGTTCTATCGTTCTTGAATTTTTTCTACAAAAAATCATATGAAATGGACTGATTTCAGCAAAAAAGAAGAAAAATGGATTCTGAGAAGTTCTTAGATATGGGAAGAAAAAGAAATTTGATGCAGAGGTTCTGGATTTCAGCAACAGGAGAAAGCCATGGAATCTGGGATGGAGAGCCCGGAGCTTCCGTCACCATCCTCTCATACATCGCGCATTCGCGCAGCGCCAAAACTCGCCACCCCTGTTTCCAAACCCCGCCGGCAAAAAGTCACTGTCGTGCGCTGTGGGCGGAAATTTATTGCTTCACGTCGGGAAGTTGTGACCGGGAAGGCCAGCAAGAGTTTCCATATCATTATAGACCTGGTGAGTCAGTTCGACGCCATTAATGGAGGAAAAAGCCCAGCCCCTGGGAAGGACAGTTATACCTATACCCGAGGCCGGCGTCGAAACCGGGAGTCCCTGGCAATACCGCATGCTACCGTCCCTCCAGCACCGCCGTTCTTCAGTGCATGCAGCCGGTTTTTTCCCGGCACCACTGCTTGTCAACCGTCTGTCCTCGAGGAGCAATCGCCATCGCGCAGGGTCGGAGGTAGCCCTTGCAAATCTGAAGTTGTGGCCGCCGTTGTTCGTTGATACGGCGATCCATACCATCACGTCAGTAGATGCAGCCCCTTGAATGAGCTAAAGTGGCCGCGTGCAATTTTCTTGGCCGCAGGGTGAAGCTGCCAACCTATCCAGATGTGAAAGAGTACTGTAACAATGGGACGGATGACCAACCTGGTCAAAGTAATTGCCCCACTTGCCCACTTGGTTCATGCAAACGGGTACACTGCCAAAGAGCTAAGTATCACTCAACCCCAGCATTTACTAATTAAAGTATTGATTAGGATAATGCTGATATTATATTACCATTAGATTGTTTTGCCATTATTTAGTAGGGATGGAATATCCCGAAATTAAATAATGTCGAGCAAAGCTCAGATGAGTAAAGCTCTAGTGATAATTAGTTTCACCGTCATTTTAATTAATGATTGGTTGCTGTGGGCCCGTCGGCCCGCTCCTAATCGGCGTGAATTAGCGATCGGAGCATAACTGAATGGTCTTTGGTAGGATAGTATCATTACTATTACCTGTTATATCACTAGCTATTATTTATTAGGGATAAAATATCCCGAATTAAATAATGCGGAGCGAAGCTCTAGTGATAGTTAGTTCGGCCAATATTTTATCGAATAGTTAATTTCTTGTGGGCCCGTTGGCCCACTCTCGATCAGCTTGATTAAGCGATCTGAGCGTCTCCAAAAGGGCGATGCCCCGACGACGCATTTTAATTGGAGGGTTGCGCATTAGTCCACACGGCACTACGTGCCCAATCGACGACCGTACCCCAGAACCATCCGCGCCGCTAGGCGCGAAGTGACTATTGCCAAACATGGCCTATGGGGCCCGAGGGCAGCAAAGCACTCAACCTCGTTTTTCCGAGGGCGGTGCGACCAACTTGGGTCTGAGTTGAAAACTCACAGACCAGTGGATATTTCTATGTGACGTTCGGCGGGCTGCTAATTGGCCCCGCCGCGAGCTGCTACGTCCAGTAACCCCGCACGATGAGCCAGACTGAGGGTCACAGTGACCCATAGGCCAGTAATTGTGGGTGTTAGAGAGAAAGCCACACAGATGGCTATGTATATATACTGTCGGGCCGTGCGGCCCGTTATCATGCTTATTGCGCAGCTGAAGCCACTCGACGCGCTCGAGCGAAATGATTAAAAGACGCTCGGCCCGAGTCTTGAAGACGTTCAGGGCCAGCTAAAGAGGGGACCGCCATGGTTGAGAACCGTGGGACGAGCATCTCCACCCCAGAGACCTAGGAAGAACACCTAGAGGCCGAGGGTCTGGAGGGAACTGCCACGACGAAGAACCGTGAGACGATCATCCATCATCCAGAGGCCGAGGGCCAAGAGGAAACCATCACGGCTGAGAGCCGTGATACGAGCATCTCCACCCCAGGAGCCGGTGGCCTAGAGGAGACCACTACGGCCGAGGGTCGTGGGACCATCCTTACATCACGACCGACCTCACGGTACGGCGTGTTTATCACCTGAAGACCGGTATCATCCCCGCGTTGCGCGGATGGGAGCCGTTGCACGGATACACTTGATCGACTTCTCATTGCTGACATCATTATATCACGACCGGCCTCTTGGCACGGCGTGTTTATCTTTTGAAGACCGGCCTCGTCCCCGCACTGCGCGGATGAGGACCGTTGCTTGATTTCAGATCGGCCCCTCATTGCCGACATCATTATATCACGACTGGCCTCCTGGCTCGGCTTGCTTTCCATATTTGAAGACCGGCCTCATCCCTGCTCCCCGCGGATGAGGACCGTTGTGTGCTCACTCTTAGATCGGCCTCTCATTATCGATATCATTATATCACGACCGGCCTCTCGGCACGGCGTGTTTATCTTTTGAAGACCGGTTTCATCCCCGCGCTGCGTAGATGAGAGCCGTTGCTCGGATATATCAGCCTGATCGGACACTATTGTCATCTCCTTATCAGGACCGACTGCTCAGCGACATTATGATCATTATCGGCTCCCAATGCCGACCTTCTTGAGTTAGCGATCAGACTCACCCCTCCCCTCCAGGAGGGTGACCATCGCCTTCGCATGACGACCAGCTATTCCATCGCCTCGTCATTTTATTCGTTTTGGTATCCCACCACCATTATGTGTGACATCACTTGTGGTCATTCTTAGAACCGACGAACGTATTTTCCTCCCTCAAAAAAAAGATGGGGAGAAGGGGAGACAAGCTCCTATGAGAGAGGGAGTCTTGACGAGGTATGCCAGATCTTCCTTCGCCGCGGATGACAAACGTCTCCTGACACGGAGGCCAGTAGGAACGTGGGGGGGGGGGGGGGGGGGGGGGGGGCTAGACGAACCAAAGGGAACCTCGGCAAGATAAACCAGTTCCTCCCATTTCCCGTGGATCGACGAACACCTTCTGCCAGAGCAGAAGGCTAGTAGGGCCACGAGCATGGGACGACGAAGCAGGGAACCCGCGATAGGGTAAACCAGTTCCTCCTTGCGATCGGTGGATGCCGAACGTCTTCTTCGAGGGAAGAAGACTAGTAGGATCACGACAGGGACGAACGAAGAAACGGGAACCCTGACAGGGTATACCGGTTCCTCCCCCTTGATGGACGGATGACGAACGTCTTCTGCGAAGCCAGAAGACTAGTAAATCACGACTGGGGACGAACAGAGATAGGGAATCCCGACGTGGATAAACCTGTTCCTTCTCATAGTTGGGATGACGAACGTCTCCTGCGAAACCAGGAGACCAGTAACTCACGAGACTTGGGAAGAACGAAGAACCAGTTCTCCACTGGAGTCTGTTGCGTGCCGAGTGTACACCGCTTAGCGGTCCATACATAGGACCACGGATACGGTACACGAACGAAGACCAGCTCCATGGGCCATACACGAAGAACCAGTTCTTTACCGGAGTCTGTTGCGTGCCGAGTGTACACCGCTTAGCGGTCCATACATAGGACCACAGATACGGTAGACAAACGAAGACCAGCTCCATGGATCAGACACGAAGGACCAGTTCTCAACCGGAATCTGTTGCGTACCGAGTGTACACCGCTTAGCGGTCCGTACATAGGACCACGGATACGGTAGACGAACGACGATTAGCCCCCCAGATCAGGTAGGAGGGACATCGCCCAGATTATTTCATGCTCACCATTCCTTCCCGGATGGAGTCCTGGCAGACGATCGGCTTCTCACAACCAATCAGGAGAGAGACTTGGCACATCACCAGCACGGCCGAGGGCCGCGAGACGATTACCACTCACCGACAGGCCGAGGGCCATGAGATGATCATCACTATTTTTCTGTATCACGATCGGCCCCTCAGCGCCATCGTGTCCAGATTCACGGTTCGGCTCGCCCATTCCCTCCAGGATGGCGACAACCGTCTTATGCAGTACGATCGGCCCCTCAGCGCCATCGTACCCAGCTCACGTTCAGCTCGTCCATCCCTTCCAGGGTGGCGACGAACGTCTTATGCATCACGATCGGGCCCCCAGCGCCATCGTGTCTAGATTCACGGTTCGGCTCGCCCATTCCCTCCAGGATGGCGACAATCGTCTTATGCAGTACGATCGGCCCCTCAGCGCCATCGTACCCAGCTCACGTTCAGCTCGTCCATTCCCTTCTAGGATGGCGACGAACGTCTTATGCATCACGATCGGCCCCCCAGCGCCATCGTGTCTAGATTCACGGCTCGGCTCGCCCATTCCCTCCAGGATGGCGACGACCGTCTTATGCAGTACGATCGGCCCCTCAGCGCCATCGTACCCAGCTCACGTTCAGCTCGTCCATCCCTTCCAGGGTGGCGACAAACGTCTTATGCATCACGATCGACCCCCCAGCGCCATCGTGTCTAGATTCACGGTTCGGCTCGCCCATTCCCTCCAGGATGGCGACGACCGTCTTATGCAGTACGATCGGCCCCTCAGCGCCATCGTACCCAGCTCACGTTCAGCTCGTCCATCCCTTCCAGGGTGGCGACGAACGTCTTATGCATCACGATCGGCCCCCCAACGCCATCGTGTCTAGATTCACGGTTTGGCTCGCCCATTCCCTCCAGGATGGCGACAACCGTCTTATGCAGTACGATCGGCCCCTCAGCGCCATCGTACCCAGCTCACGTCCAGCTCGTCCATCCCTTCTAGGGTGGCGACGAACGTCTTATGCATCGCGATCGGCCCCTCAGCGCCATCGTGTCCAGACTCACGGTTCGGCTCGCCCATTCCCTTCCAGGATGGCGACGACCATCTTATGCAGTACGATCGGCCCCTCAGCGCCATCGTACCCAGTTCGGCGTTCAGCTCGTCCATCCCTTCCAGGGTGGCGACGAACGTCTTATGCATCACGATCGGCCCCTCAGCGCCATCGTGTCCAGATTCACGGTTCGGCTCTCCCATTCCCTTCCAGGATGGCGACGAACGTCTTTATGCAGCACGATCGGCCTCTCAGCACCATCGTGTCTGGCTTATGTTCGGCTCGCCCATTCCCTTCCAGGATGGCGACGAACGTCTCTTATGCAGCACGATCGGCCTCTCAGCACCATCGTGTCTGGCTCATGTTCGGCTCGCCCATTCCCTTCCAGGATGGCGACGAACGTCTCTTATGCAGCACGATCGGCCTCTCAGCACCATCGTGTCTGGCTCATGTTCGGCTCGCCCATTCCCTTCCAGGATGGTGACGAACGTCTCTTATGCAGCACGATCGGCCTCTCAGCACCATCGTGTCTGGCTCATGTTCGGCTCGCCCATCCCTTCCAGGATGGCGACGAACGTCTCTTATGCAGCATGATTGGCCCCTCAGTGCCATCGTGTCTAGTTCATCTCCGGGTCGCCCATCTCCTCCAGGATGGGGACGGATATCTTATGCAGCACAATCGGCCCCGTCGTGCCATCGTGTCGAGTTCATCTCCGGATCGCGCATCCCTTCTCGGATGGCGACGACCATCTTATGCAGCACGTCTGCCTCTCGGCGCTGACATGCCCGGTTTATCGATGAGAGCCACCGCTTCCTATCACATCTCACATTCCTTCTCACATACATTGCACCCATACATTACATGCATTCATGCATTCATGCATCATACCTCATACATTCATACATACACACGTGCATCATGTTTTGACAGTACCGCGACGTCGGTTTATAGATGCATGGACCTCTTAGCTTCTCCGATTGGAAAGCTGGACTCAGAGTCCTTTACTCCCGCCTGATGCATTCAGGGGGGGGGGGGGGTGCCCGTGGAGGAGCACCCTTCGCTCGACCTCGTCGGGAAGGGGGGTGACTCACCGGCAGATTACGTTCAGGAGTGCAGACACCCACTCGTATATTATGATTATTCGAAGACACAATTTCCAGCAAGACAGAGGAAGAGCGCAGGCAAGAGTATATTTTCTCGAGCAGATTCGCACGCTCACTACTCAAGAAACTGGGGGACTTGTGTTGGGATATATTATCCCAGCCTATTACTGTTCAGGAGACCAAGACATTATTCAGTACGGAGCCCGAGCAGCTAGGCCCATTTCGGCCCATCCAGCCCACTTTAGCCATTTGGGCCCACTCCGGCCCATGCGGCCCATTAGGGTGGAGAGCATCCCCTTCCCCTTTCCCTATTTATAGGAGGTTTTCCCTCCATGTAAAGGATCTTTTTCTTCTTCCCCAACTCTTATTTTCTCTCTAGCTAGTTCACTACTCCATTAATGGGAGCTCAAATTGTACTGTGTAATGGTGAGGAGAGTCCTAATGAGAATGAGAGGGCTTGGACATTAGCCTAAAAAGTCCTGTGGTTTTCTCCCTTTCCGGGGTTCCACGTAAAAATAGCTTGTTCATACACATTTATACATATATTTACTATATCGTGTTGGATTAAACTCAACAGGATGGAAATGATACAATGCATATCATATTAATTTTTTAATTTTATTTCTTCCGAACCCGTTTCTCACTTTTTCCATTTAAGGAAATAAAATATCACAATTATATTTAGACTGCCCGATCGAGTTCAAGTAAATTGGAGTAAAATAAAGAATAAAGCATATATATGACAGTCTTCATATTTGGGGCACATCAACCATGCATCAAGCTTAAAAACAATTGAACCAGAAGAGACATGTGTTCCTCCTCTGCACAATTATGCAGCATGCATGTCCACACGTATGACTGTATGAGAAATATATACTGTAATGTAACACACGGATATATATTGAAATGTTTCTTAATAAATGGTCAATTTAAACTCTACTAAGTACGATTCCATTATTCATTCAATTATCCCTCTCCTTAATTGTTAATTATCGTATCATAGTTATATTTTTCAAAACATATTTTTTCGACTTTTGTGTTATATACGAAATGTGAGTTAGATACAAGTTCAAGTGCATTACATAAATTGGTTGTGTGTTTGAGACCGGTTCATGTGCATTACGTATTCGGGGTTGTATGTTGGATACTTGTTTTTGTACGTGACATACTTAGCTTGTTGTGATTCTCTATGTCCATTCTATGTGCTAGATACTGGTTCTCTAAAGTGTATACATATTGCGCTTTATATACTAGTTCATGTGTACTATATAAAATTCTAGTGCGTTAGATATCAATCCTTAATTGTTGTGCCTTAAATACTGCTTTTTGTGTATTAGATATTTGTTATGATGCTTTATATACAAATATTTTGCGAGATACTACTTTTTTTGTGCACTAAATATTGATGGTTGTGTGTTAAATATATGTTATTGTGTGTCGGTGTGTGCGATAGCTGGAGATGATTGGTGTGGTTTATTCTATACGTTCTTTTTTAAATAAAAAAATGCATATGCAATATTGGTGTCATATCAAAGATAATAAAAAATTATTTAATTTGATATTTTTTTTATGAAATTGGATTATAATATAAAAAGTAATATCAAATTAAGCTAAAACCATTTTATATGATTTAATATTTTATTTCAACCCACTTTTTCGGAAGTGGTCTCCCACCGTTGCCCTGTATTATTTCTACACCTCTAATTCCGTTTCTAAGAGGCCGTTTAGGATGTGCGAAAGTGCATCATTGTATTTATGCACCAATTACGTAACAACCGATCATTTAATAAGATGAGTGGTTATGATTTGTTCTCACTTCTCACGATGAGAGGTGTTCTCATTAGAACCATTGGCCGCCTTCCCGGTGGCTTTTTTTGATGAAATTTTTATGACATGTTCTCCATCAAGTCTAGTTTATCCACAAAACATTTCAGCCAAAAACTCAATCGGGAAGGTCGTCAAATGATTTTTGCAAGTTAACTGGTCCGGAAAATACAAGTTAACTGGTCGCCAAAAACTCCATGTCATTTCAGTTTCTACATCACCCATCCGTTCAAACGGTTCCTAAAATCTCGCTGCACGATTCTTTCCTTATGTGTTTCTCCAGAATTATTTCCTAAGGTATTCCTGCATCGTTTTTCTCCCCTTGCGCAATGGTAATTCCTTTTTTCATGATCACAATCATCTTCTTCGTTTTCATTGCTGCGATCTTTGCTCCGCCATCGTGACAATCTGCCATGGAGTTCATTTACCATGTATTTTGTTTTTTACCGGCTCCTGGACATACTTTATTGTCTCTTTCTTGTTGTGATGATTTGTGGTTCACTATATGCGTTTTATATACAATTATTTTTTCACTTTGTTATTTCAGTATTTAGGTTATATATTTTGTGACCGATAGATGTCTTTTTTGTTTTTATTTGTTGAATATATGTTTAATTCAAGCAACTATTTTGATTGAGACGTACACATGTGTACGTCTTCTAAGCGATGGACACGTATACAAATTGGACACACTACGCTCTTGTCATGTCATATATATTTTAGAGGGACGATTCTTACAGATGTTGTATGTAATGCGTTTTTAATTTATTTCTCTTGTCCATGTACACTACGCTCTTGTCATGTCATATATATCTATCTATCCATCATAAGAAAACATTTGTTATATTCATAGTCAATTCCAAGACTGTTTTTAATGCACTGTGAATGGTTTTATGATGCAGATTAATGCATTATATTATTGTACTTTATCTTACATTGTTTGTATGGAACCATATGTTGCACTTAACGTACTTGTTTATGCACTTTTTCATAATTCTTTTATTAACATTTTTGCAGATACATGTGACATAAGAAGACACCATTATATTGGAATTATTATGATGCTTTTGGAAGAAAAGTGCATTTCATTTTATAAAAAGTGTGAATGTAGAGTTTTAGAAAGTGCGATTTATTGTGCACTTTGTATTTATTTATAATACACAGTATAAAAGTGCATTTTATTTTGTAAAAGAGTGTTATTGTAGAAACTTCGAAAGTGTAATAACATAGTGCACTTTTGTATATTTATGTTCATTTTTATTTGAAGCATGCATGGATGTGCATAATGGCACGTGTAAAGTGTAGATTTATGTGATAGAAAATGCAAACTAATGACATAATTAAGGTTGCGGTTTACAACTATGTAAATTAATTTAATAAACACATCATCTCTCTTGAGAATGAATATTTTAAAATATTTAAATAAATCGATGTTGCATAATGTTTTAAATTAAAGTGTAACTATTCTGCGTTAAAGTACGTGCACATAGAAATTATAAGTGGATGCAATTTGTAATTTAAAAAATCGTATGATAGTTGTTAGTTTACACTCGTGCATATTTTATTTTTATTCAAAAATATATGGATGCACAATTTCGGAGAGTAAAGTGCAGATTATATAAAGTACATATAGTTTCAACTAAAAGTGCAACTATTAAATGTTTGAGTGCAAATGGCTAATCAACGAAATACTTCATCTGGATAGAAAATGATTAAATTAAAAAAATTAAAAAATCTAATAGAGTTTTATAAAATTAGTTAATGGAGTTAAATGTGAGAGAATATTAAATATGGTTATAAAGTTAAATAAGATAAAACATTACCAGAATAAATTATTTTTCATGTCACCTCCACATAAGATAATCTCAAATAATCTCCAAACCAATAAAATTCTCCTCATTCATGATCTTAATTTGCCTTGGATAGGAGCATGAGCATGCACAAACTACAAAGCTAGTCATCACTATAATTATGAGTATATGCCTAGAAGTTGGAAATAATCTCAAAATAATCCAGCTTTAGAATTTGATACCAGATTATTTTATCAAATAATCTCATAAAAGAATCTCAACTCCCCGACCAGAACTCCTCGGTATGGTGTTCTGGTGGCTCCGGACAGAAACCCTCGACCTGAACACCTCGGTATGGTATTCTGGTGGCTCCGGAATAGTGTGTGCTAATCTTTGACCGGTGTACTGATTAATTACTGAGAGTTGATGCTCAAAAAGTACGTGTAGGTGTCAGAGTCAATAGTGTATGCTAATCTTTGACCGGTGTACTGATTAATTACTTCAAATCTAGTTTCCGATATGTATGTAAAATATAGTGATTCCGATTCTAGCCGAGTCTGATCCGATCGGGCTTTTGACCGGTTCACACCCTTAGCTTACACACATATGTCCACATAGACCTGTTTGGCTTAATTAAACACCGACCTCTAATTTACTATTAAGTGATCGCGTTGGAATTTAGCCCAAAAGAAATTAAATATATACTACAATATACTCCCTCCGGTTCACATTCTTCTTTACACTTTCCTTTTTTGTCAGTACCACATTTTTCTTTACACTTCCTTATTTGCCTTATTTGGCAAACAAATCTACATAAAACAGTGTCAAACAGTGCCAAACAGTGTCCAAACAATGCCAAACAGTGTCTAAACAACGCCAAACAGTGTACTCTACAGTAAAGTCAAATTTATTTTCTTAAAACTTGTGAAGTCAAAGTGTCAAGGAGATTATGAACTAGAGGGAGTATATAATGTGATTTTGTTTTGCAAAATATATAATGCGCACGCACCTGATGACCATCATACCAAGGTCCATTCTTATGCAACGTGGTGAGCTTCAAATCTCTAGCCAGCATGTACGCAATCTTCCTAGTCTGCGCCACAGGTACCATTAGATCTTGATCACCACTGCATCCAAAATACAAAATTAATAATAAATAAAGTAGTCAAACTTTTAACATCTTACAATTTTGTTACTAAAATATACCTTGCCCTTTCTTTAACGCGGTGCACCCCCAGAAAATGGTAAATCGAATAGTAAAATTAAAAGGAATTCCGATTTCAAATGTAAAATCGAGTCCCCATATTAATTTAAAAAATTAAAAT